AAACCACTCTCTGTTTTCTCTTATCGCCAAAGGGAATTCCCAAGTTCCCATTTTCCCCACTCAAGCTCTCTCCCAGATTTCTCATCCTTCCTTTCTCCCATACAAAGAAAAAAAAAGAAACATAAAAATATCCATTTATCCTCCTGCAACTTTGAAGGCCAGAATCTCCACTTCAACAATCGAAGCCCAAAAATCCAGTCCATCAACTCCCATAGCTCACATTCTTGAAGGTCTGTTATTAAATCTCAATCTTTTCCTTTTACTTCCTTGATTCTGATATATACATTTCGGTCTTTCTATTTATCTTGGGGGGTTTTCAGATATGGGTTCTACTTGAATCCTGTTTGCAGAAATTTCCCAGCTCTGAAATCTTGATTTCTTTCTTGCTCTGTTATATTAGAATCCCTCAACTCCCATAGCTCACATTCTTGAAGCTCTGTTCTTAACAGTTTTGGATTCTGATTTTTTTCTTTCAAAACTCCCAATTTGTCTGGGGTATTCGGGGCATGGGTTCTACTTGAATCTTGTTTTTTTACCCGTCTGGATTCTTGAATCCCAAATTTTCTTGCTCTGTTATAACCAATCAGCAGCTCAGAATCTTGGCCATGGAAGAACCGGGAGAGGACAGAGTCGAGATCAGGGATGTATGGGGCCACAATCTGGAAGACGAATTCGGAACCATCAGCAACATAGTGGACGATTACCCATACATCGCCATGGACACCGAGTTCCCCGGAGTGGTCGTCCAGCCGTGCGGCCGAGCGAGTTTCGAGCAGCTGGGCCTCACCGGGTACAATTACCAGAAGATGAGAGCCAATGCGGAGATTCTGAAGCTGATTCAGGTGGGCCTCACCTTCTCCGACGCCGATGGAAACCTCCCGACCTTGGGGACAGGGAAAGGCCACGTCTGGCAGTTCAACTTCCGGGAGTTCGACCCGGAGGCGGACCCACACGCCGAGGACTCCGTAAAGATGCTCCGGGAAACCGGGACGGACTTCAGGCGGAACAAGACGGAGGGGGTGAGCTCCGACCAGTTCTACGAGCTTCTGATGTCGTCCGGGGCGGTTCTGAACCCGGAGGTTCAATGGGTCACCTTCCACGGGTCCTCCGACTTCGGGTACCTGGTTCAGGGGCTGACGGGGACGAAGAGAGGAGGAGAAGGAGTCGGTTCCCTCCCGGAGACTCAGGGGGAGTTTCTGAAACTGGTGAAGGTGTACTTCCCGGTGTTCTATGACGTAAAACACGTGATCAGAGCCTGCAACGACATCTATGGCGGGCTGGCGAGGGTCGCCGGAGATTTGGGCGTGAAGAGAGCCGCCGGGAACGCCCACCAAGCTGGCTCTGACAGCCTGCTGACATCACGTGTCTTCTTCAAGCTCAAAGCCACCCGGGCTCACCTTCTCCTCGATCATCGATATGCTGGTGTGCTCTATGATCTTGATCCTTAGCTTCTTAATTTATTCAACGCATGCAACACTCTCCTTTGAATTCTCCATTAAAAAAAAGGTTTTGCAAGAAAAAAAAAGGGTTTTTTTTTCAGATGTATACTCTGTTCTTCTTCAAGTGAGGCCAGGCCAGGCAAAAAAAAGGTTGTATTGTGATGAGTGGTGAGTGGTAGAATGAATGAATTTGCAGAGGCATTGCAGGGTAGGGTGTAAACGGATTTTAATCGGATCGGATGTGCCATTACCAAATCCGTATCCGTTTATTTTTGTCGGATATCGAATTCGGATACGGATCTAGACGGATATTGAAATATCAAAACCGTATCCGCATCCGTCGGATATCGGTCGGATATCGGATATATCCGTATCCGTTTCCAATTTTTAAAACTAAATTAAACAATACTTGAATTTTCAATTAAACTAAATTAAAATATTATTAAATCAACTATAATTTTTATGAGATATTAATTTTCTTATTTTTTATAGTTTATGATATTCTACGATAACTTCATATCATAAAATGATATACACAATACATATATACACATACTTTTATGTGTTTACACATATATTTTGCATATAAAAATGTCTTATACTTTGAGATATCTATAGAGAAACAAAATATAAAAATAAAAAATTAGGAAAGACTATATATAACGGATCGGATATACGGATAAACGGGTATTTAAACGGATGTCAATGCGGAGCGGATTATAAACAGATCGGATGTATGATTACCAAATCCGTATCCGTTTAGCAATCGGATATCCTTAATCGGATACGGATAATAACTGCTTTTAACGGATGCAGATATTTTCCATATAAACGGATACGGATGCGGACGATAATCGAATTTTCGGTTATCCGTTTACAGCCCTATTGCAGGGGAAGAAACTCAAGAAAGAGTATATTATGCATGTGCAGAGCTTGTTTCACGTTTTGGTGATAGTTTGAGTTTTCTGTTAAATGGTTAATGGCTTCATGCAATACCAAGGTTGAATTAAATAGGGAGTGTGTGATGAAGAGTACAAATGATGCTAAAATAAACCAATGTTGATTCGATTCGTGATTCGTACGGAGTATTTGATAAAGAAGTACTCCGTAATACTTAAAAACACATTTAGCTTTTGGACGTCATGTAGAAAAAGAAGTATTTAGATAATGTTAAATGAATGTGCAAATATGAATTGAAATATGAATTAATTGATTAGAGAGTCATTCTATGGTGGATCTAAGGTCTACATGAACCTTCTCGCATACTTTTTTTAAAATTTAAAAATACTTATTTCAACACTTGAAAATGTTTATTTAGTATGTATGAAAGTTTACCGTGCACCTTAGGTGCATGTAATAATTGATAAGAAGCCCTAATACCACAAGTTCATACTAATCATTTTCATGATTGGAACAATTCATCTTTTTGTAACCTTCCAAAAATGCATAGTGGATCATGTTGGTCAAAACTCTCCCAACTTTATGTTTACGCGTTACGGCATTCGACTATGAAGGTTTTACGATTAAATTTTGTCTTTATTTTTAGTAAAGGTAACTATCAGACACTCTTCAGAACATTGTTTTAGACACTCTTCAGAACATTGTTTTAAATTGGCAAAAACTTCTAGAGTGATCTTACAGGCATTACAATAATATTTGATAAAAGATGAGTAAATATAAAAAACTCTCTCTTATAAAGGACCTGTTATAAAACTACTCTATTTTTCTGTGTGACTTAATAGCTCTTGTGCCCCTAGGTGTGAAAAATAGAGACGATTGCCCCGTTAGGGTCTATTCGATTGTAGGGAAGGAGAGAGGGGAGGAAGGAATCAGAACTCCTCTCATTGTTTCGTTTAAAAACATAGAGGGAAGGAGATCCAAAATTTTAGCTTCAATTTCCTCCCCCTTCCAAATCAATCATTTCGAATTGGACGGAATCTCCTCCCCTCTTGTCATTTTATTCTTTCTTTCGTCATTTTTTTCGCAATGTGAATAAAAAATAATATAAAATAAAATGAAATTAAAATAAATAAATAAATATAAAATAAATTAAATCATTTTAAAATAACAAAAAACTTAATAATAACAAAAACTTTATAGTAGTAGAATAAAAAAATAAATGATAATTAAATATAAGTAATAATAAATAAGTAGATATAAGAATAAGAATAAAAAACTAAAAATATTAATATCATAAAATAAAAACCCATAATAAATATAAAAACATAAATACAAATTATAAATAAAAATTAAAAAATTGATGATGATAATAATAATAATAATAAATAATTATAATAATAAAATAAATCAATCAATTCATAATGGAAAATCGTAGTAATAAATAACAAATAAAATAATATACATACATACTCCCTCCGTCCCTGAGTATTTGTATACTTTTGAATTTTTTTTGGTCAAAATTGGTAAATTTTGACCTTAAATAAAAGAAAAATGATATTGGATATTGATACAAAAATAGTTTTATTAGATTTATTATATCACATATTTTAAAAATAATATTTTATATAATTAATATAAAATATAAATATATTTAATTATAAGTCAAAGGTTGAAAACTGTTGACCGAAATAAGTCAAAACTAGACAAATACTCAGGGACAGAGGTAGTATATATATACATATATATACTTAATTAAATTTTTAAAAATAAATTACATAATAAAATAAAAAAATTAAAATGTAGGATAAATGATAAAAAGAGTAATAAAAAGTTAAAATTATAAAAAATAAAACGAAAGAATAAAATTAAAAACACTAATAATAATTTTGTTTAAAATAGATGACAAAATAATTTTAAAAATGAAAACTATAAATAAAAATTTAAAAATAAAACATTTCTTTCTTATCCAAACCAAACAAGGTAACGAGAATTCTTTCCTTCCCTTCCCATTTCTCCCATCCATTCTTTCTCCTCCCCTCCCTTCCATCCAAACGTATCCTTAAGGAAATGATTGCCTTGCTCTCATACTTTAATACAAATTATAAAAGGGAGAGAGATTAAAATATGAAAAAAATGGAAAATATACTAAAGATAGAGTCTTATGTTTTTATTTTCAATATAAGAGTTAAGTTGTTGTAGATACAATGTAAAATTGTTCATATACAAGGCCACATTACCATAGAATAACCTCCTATCTTGAAGATAAAAACATAAAACTTTTATTTTTGTAGTTTTTCAATGTTTTATCTCTATATAGGATTATTTATTTTCATACAAAGTATTAATGTCATTTCCTAGCCATTCGTCAAAATAAAATGAACAAGAAATAACTCTTGAGATGTGTGTACAACTTTTGAATCCGTAAGAATTCTAGAAATATATTACCACTGTTGGAAACAGTCTTTTATTATAACTGGAAAATTACTCAAAACCAATTACAATAAACTCTCATATGGCTCTCATATCAAAACCCAAGGCTTGGCTATGATATATATAGTATTAACCCAACTTGGCCAACAAGTAATCTAGGATCCATAATTCTATTCCTATTTGAACTAGAATATCTCGGGTAATCCTAATCCTACTCGATAATTAGTCAACAATCACCCCCCTAATTTTCGAGTTGGATTGCGGGTGATCTTCAACTCCAAGCATGTCTTCTTTATCTTGATTCTCCCGAGGCTCTTCATGATCCCTTGCAGTGTTCTTCGGGCTCCACTTAGCTTGAACAAACACTTGCTCCTTGCGATCATTACACGTCCTTCCTTGGGTTAGAATCCTTTTCTTGACACCTCCTTTAAACTCTTGAACATTCTTCTTTAGACTTTGAATTTTGGGTTTCTCCATTAAACATGGATCTCCGAGAAGATTCTGACTCGTACTTCGCGTACCTTCTTTCAGTTGATCAACTCTTTGTAGATCCCTACCCACAAAATTCTTCATTCCAATCATGCTAACTTGTGTACTGGGACTTGCTATCTTGAGATTGATCTTGTACAAACGATTCTTGGTCCTCGTCACCTTCATCATAAGCTTCCCTGTGTCATCATGAATGGTTAGCAAATCGCACTTCATGTGAATGTCGTTCACCTTCCGTTGTTTGACCAAGACTTATGATGTTGCTTTGTAGGCTGGGTATGTAGTACACATCGGTCAACAGGCGCTGCTCCCCTGTTTTCCCTTCAAGTAATACAGATCCCTTTCCTCGTATGTCAATACAAGATCCATCTCCAAACTTCACCTTTCCCGTGACACGTTCATTAAGTTCAAAGAAGTAAGCTTGATTGCCCGTCATGTGATTCGATGCTCCGTTGTCGAGATACCAAATGTCTTTCTCCTTTGGTTCAACCTCGAAACGCTTTGGAATCACCCCTTCTTCATTTACAAAGACATTCTCTTGATCACACCTCATCATGAACAAAGATGGATCCAAAACATCAATTTCAGCTAAATTAGCTTCCTCTTGTTTCTTCGTACGCTCCGGGCACACTGATGCAAAGTGACCAAATTTATCACATCGAAAACACTGAAACTTTGATCTATCCTTTCTTCCCTTCTGACGATCATTGGTTCTTCTTTGACCCGTTCGCTTTGACCCATGATCTTGACCATCTCGGCATTGACTTCCATCTTGGTCATCATCATCCTGGTCTTGGTCTCTTCCTTGACCTTGGTTGCATCGGCTTTGTCCTCTCGATCCGTTTTCTCCCCTTTGAGAATGAGAGCTTTCACCATTGGAGAATAATAGTTTACTCTGTGTTTCTATATCCTCTTCCTTGATTCGCTCTTCGTAGGCTTTTAACCGGCCTATGGTTTCTTGAAATCCTAGTTTATTCAAATCTAGAACTTGTTCCAACGAGGCGACTATATGGATGTATTTCGAACGAGGAAGTGACTTTAGAAACTTCTTAACCATCTTTTTCTCTTCGATCTCTTCTCCAAGGGCTACGGATTTTGAGGCCAAACTTGATAACTTCTCAGCAAAATCATCAATTGACTCTGAATAATGCATCTTCAAATTATCAAATTCTGCATTTAGGGTTTGGAGATGAGCTTCTCTAACCCTCTCAGCCCCTAAGTGACGAGTTTTGATTGCATCCCACAAACCCTTCGCAGTCTCCTCATTGCCTACCTGCAATATCAGATTTTCTGGAATTGATTGAAACAACAGTGCAGTTGCCATATCATTCTTCTCGGCATCAGTTGCGCCTAGTTCAATTGTTTCCCACACCTTATGAACCCTTAAGACGACTTTCATTCTCATGGCCCATACGGTGTAGTTCGTAGCGTTTAGCATGGGACATTGGACAGCTGTAAGCCCAACTCCCTTAACCTTCGGTTGTGGTGTCTCAGATTCTGTCATATTTTTCTTACGTCGACTGTACGTCAAGAGTGGTGTAACAGGATCCAATACTTGAGTTTAAAAGAAATTTGATTAAACCTTACTTGTTTATATATAGTGTTAACCCAATTTGTGCTCGTATTGAACAATCTAGCTCTGATACCAATTGTTGGAAACAGTCTTTTATTATAACTGGAAAATTACTCAAAACCAATTACAATAACCACTGTCTCATTATATTTCTTCAGTTTGACTTTTTCAAATCAATAGGATGAACTTTTAAACTCTATTAAATTAAAATTAAAATGTATATTTGTACACAAATGATTTAATTAGACTTATCTTGTTTAAAACTTTCAAATTTTTAATTCATTGTATTAAGGGCACTGTAAATGTCCATGAAGCCCCGAGACTTCAAACCGGGGCTTCAAACTTTCTCTCTCTGCCACGTCAGCTTTAACTTACCTCACAGATTCAGTGGAAATGGGTTTGAAACCCCGGGGCTTCAAACCTTCGTTTTTTACATTTTAAATATACATCTTCTAAAATTAAATTAATAAAATTTAACTATTTAATTATTTTAAAGAATTGAAACGATAATAGTTCATTAAAAAAATACATTCATTATAAAAAATTACATTCATTAGATAAAAAAATTAAATTCATTAAATAAAAAAATTACATTCATTAAATAAAAAAATTATATTCATTATAAAAAACTAAATTAATTAAATATAAACATTACATTCATTAAATAAAAAATTACATTCGTGAAAAAATAAAAAAATACTTGAATAATAATTTTTTTAAAAAGATGATAGATAGAGAGAAATTTGTATTTGTGTTGAATTTTTTTAAAAAAATAATTTAATTTATAGAGAAGAAAAAAGGAAAAAAAAGAGGGAGAAAAAAGAAAGAAGGCGCGATAATGCCTTCAAACCGCGTCAAAAATTTGGCGCAAGTATTTTAACGCACCTTTAACGGAGGGAGGGGTGTTTAACGCCCCCCACGTGTCAAAATGGTGATAACGCCGCTCGGCGTTAGGAGTAGTACCACTACTCTAACAAGAAGTATAAATTGAGAATAATTGCCTAATTAATAATTAAATATTTCCAATTTGATTTAAAAATTAAACTAAACAAATAATTGGGAGGGGGAGATTTAGTGTTAATATCCATTTTCAAACGAGAGGGGACACCCAAGCTTTTAGACCTAAAAAAGATTAGAAAAATGTGATCTTTTGTTGTATATATCTGGACGGTAAACAGTGGTGTCATCCATCAGGAATTCAGGATATGGCGAAAAAAATACTACCTCCATCTAGTTTTGACTTTTTAGGTTAATTGTTTTTAATCTTTTATCCATGATTAAAATAATATTTGATGTAATATTTTTTTGAAAATATTTAATATAATAAATTTAATAAAATTATTTTTGTATCAATATTTAATATCATACTCCCTCTGTCTCAGAGTATTTATCCACTTTCATTTTTACACACCATCCAATGCACTTCTTTAATCCATTTTATCTTGTAATTTGTATATTAAAAAATTATAGAAATTATATATTAATAATCTATATGTTAAGACAAATCAAACAAGATCACACATGACTATATTTAGGCTTACACATTGTGAGAATTTGATGAGTCAAAGTGCTTGGATGAACAATTCCAAAAGTCAAAAGTAGACGAATATAGCGGGACGGAGGTAGTATTTACTAATTTGCAGTTAAAATTTATTAATTTTAAAGGAAAAAGCCAAAAGTGAACAAAATTGTGTTGAGTGACCGAGTAGCAGCAACTGTAGACACAATGTGACACGCAAGTGCACAAAATGCTCCGTCTCTATTGTCTCTTCCAGTTTTCCCCACACCCCCAAGAACTCCATCACTCTCACTTTCTCTCTCATTAACAAAAAAACCAAATTTAGCACAGTCCTCCTGAGAAACCCATTCGCCATTTCCGGCCAATTCAAGAAACTAATTGATTGACCCCCAACACACTCATGCATTCATGAGTTGGGCATGGGGTGTTTGATTTCCCAGCTGGCGGCGAAGCTGGCCTTCTTTCCGCCGTCCCCGCCCACGTATCGCGTCAGGAGGCGAGAGGAAGACGGCCGCCTGGTCGCCGCCTCCGCCTCCGCCGCCACGGCGTCCATTTCCGAGGACTCCTGTCTGGATGTGCTCCTTCTGGACACCAAGAGGGGAAACAAGATCGTAGCTTTTTACCTCAAGAACCCTTACGCCAGGCTCACTTTGCTCTACTCTCATGGAAATGCAGCTGATCTGGGCCAGCTCTATGATTTATTTCTTCAGCTCAAAGCTAATCTCCGGGTCAACATTATGGGGTCTGTTTTTACCCACTTATTTCCCAATTTTCACTCTTTCTGCACAAACAAAATCTCTGCTTTCTGTGTAAATGCTGCTTCTATGAATTCTATTTGCAGATTCTTAATTTTGTTCCTAAATTCTCAGCCACAAATTTTGTGGGTTTTATTCAAGTCATTTATTTATTAAAATTTATTACTTGGATATGGTGGATCTCTGGTTTAAACTCGTTTTTCGTAATTTAAAATGTTTCTAATTTGGACTCTCCTTCCTTTTGTCTTCATTAATTTGGGGAAAAAGGTGACATTTTTTTTTCTGTGGATACCCATATCTTTTGTCAAGAGATAAAACTTCAAAGAGAGCCTTTTTCATAATGCAGGAAAGGGTGGCTGGGAGTAGGAGTGGGGCTGTGGGGGAGAAAGGGGAACCGAGAAAGGGGTGACTTTATTTTAATTTTTTTAAAAAGATATTTTGTTTCTAATGTGTATGATTTGCATAACTGGTGCTTGGGCATAGATAATTTTCATTTTGAGCCCCCAGTCTTTCTTTCTTCACTTTTGAATTGTTCAATTTATGCACATAATCATTAACAATCATCTTCTTAGTATGCCCACATAGATGGACCAAACAAAATGGACTTATACAATGGAGATGCTCTCATTAATATGCTGTCTGGTTCTTCTTCTGCATAATTTGTTGTACATTGGATGTGACATTTATTGTTTGTATTCTGTATGTCTCATTTTCCTGCAGATATGACTATTCTGGTTATGGAGCCTCTACAGGGAAGGTAGGCCATTTATGTTCTGTCCTGATGGTGCATTGCAGATGATGTATAGTAAAGTCATGTTCTCCCTTATTAAGGGGTCATGGAAACACTATTATGATTTGTTGATATTCTCATTTACTTGTTCATTTTAAAATGTGAATCAGCCAAGTGAATTCGATACATATGCTGATATAGAGGCAGTTTATGAGTGCCTTCAAACCGAGTACGGAGTTAGTCAGGAAGATCTGATTCTATATGGGCAGTCCGTCGGCAGTGGGCCCACGTTGCACTTGGCCGCTCGGCTGCCAAGGCTGAGAGGTGTGGTTCTGCACAGTGGCATGCTTTCCGGCCTCCGTGTGCTTTGTCATGTGAAGTTCACTTTTTGTTTTGACATTTACAAGGTAACGAGATTAGTAACTTGTTTTTTTTGTTCTCTCAATTCTTCTAAATCCTTTAGAAGTTGAATATACAAATGACGTTATTCGCGAAGAAGATTTTGAGGTTCATTTATCATGCTTTGATGTGTGTGTGTGTTATTATTGGCCTCTCTCAATTCTTTTCCTTTTTGTGGTTCCGGTTCACAGTTCACTCAAACTAATAGTTATTTATTTGAAAATGCAGAATGTAAACAAGATGCGTAAGGTGAAATCCCCCGTGCTTGTAATACATGTAAGTTCTTGAATCTCAATTGTCCCAATTTCGGAGCTTGAAATAATGTTCTAACAACGTATATGGCTGAAATTTCCCAATCACATTGTGTTTGGTGCTTTGCCGTGGATCAAATGATTTTCCTTAACTCGCCTAAGAAAAAGAATCTTGTTTCCCATCGATTAACTTCATGGAACGGTAATTCCTAAGAAAAGTTTGAAACTTTGCAAAGCAATCACTTTTCTTGAAATTGCAGAAGCATGATCAGATGGCTTGTTATGATATAAGTAGTGTTTGGCAGGGGACAGAAGATGAGGTTGTGAATTGGTTACACGGCGACAGGCTGTGGAAAATGGCAAGGGAACCATATGAGCCGCTGTGGATCAAAGGAGGAGGGCACTGCAACTTGGAGCTGTACCCAGATTACATTCGCCACCTTCGCCACTTCATTCAAGAAATGGAGAATATGACCACAGAAGTTCGACTAACCAAGATCCGTCAATCTCTCTCTCAACCTAATCCCACTACTACTAGAAGACCTAACACTTTCTGCTGTAAAGTTAAACCGGGTGTCATGAACTTCCCAAAATGCGCGTGCTGGTTCAAACCGGGCAGGGGAAAATGTTCGTGCTGGCGAATTGGGAGGTGAATATGGTGGGAGGTATAGGTCGGCGTTTCAGTCTGTGTAGAAGTGTGTGTGTAAGTACATTAGTTTTATTTGTTTGTTTATTGTTGAAACACCATCATTTGCATTGGTTGGATCTCTCATCAGGTGCTAGGAATGACTTGAGATTAAGGCCTTTTTTCATTCATATTTATTTTAGGACACTTCCAAGAATACTTCATGTACTTCATAGTAATGGAATTAGATGGGACACACATTGGGTGGTGTTGGACAAATGTGTTCTCCTAACAAAATGCATCTATTGATGTGTATACAACTTTACAAAGCATATTAAGGGATTATTTTTTTGAAGTAGGAGAGCCAAGTACTCCCAAAAGTGAATTCTCACTTCTCAAATTGAGTGTTTCAAAATTAAAGTTTCACTTCATTTTTTGGCATAACCAACTCATCATAAGTATTATTTCTTTTGTTTCGTAAAACTTTTCAAAATTTCACATCTTACTTGTCCCTTTGTCCTATAAAATATTTTAATTTGGGCGAAATAAATATAATTTTTGAACTCTATTCGTTTCAATTATCGTCGTTTTACCTTGGTCAAATTTGTACAGTTTTTCTACCCAAAAGTCAAAACAGGAAATATTTTACGGAACGGATAAAGTACAACAATATTCTCACCTTTTTTAACAACTCCCAGACTCGTTACTCCATCAAGGCAGTATTTATTTAGTCTTATAATATCAGACTCTTAAATGCAAGAGTAGGCTCAAATACTGGATTGGGAAAAGCTTGAGTTGGCTTCTACAAAAAAATTCTCTTTTAATCACATTTTATATATTTTCAATTACTTATCTATCTCGTATTTCAATATTCTCATCTCTATCTTCTTCAATCATTTTTTTATATCCACTTCCATTCATTTCTCACTCAGATCACATTAGACGTGTTCTTTCTTGTTCTAATCATAACACATGCATCATGGACAAAATTAAAAAAAAATCAATATTATTTGAAATTTGCAATAATGGGTGTGAAATTAAACCAGGATTTTAGTATTGGAAGGGGATGAGTATATACTAACAATCAAGCAATTAATGTTAATTACTTTCATTGTGATCACAATGACTCTCTGCGTCCTTGTGGTGCTTGATTGGAGCAACAAGTGCCCATCAAATCACACTTTAGAGACTACCGAAAGTCATTTAAGGTGAGAGAGCAATCTCCAAGTTTACTCATAATCCATGACTAGACTATGTGTTATGAGAGGTGACAATCTTCCTGTACTACCATTATATTGTAACCTGCTCATTCTGAAACAAAATAATGTTCATTCTGAAATCTTTTTAATTACAAGTTTATCATGATATACCAAATATCCGGTTGTACTCCATAATTTGGCGTCACTGAGCCAATTAAGAGAACAAGAGAAAGACAAACCGATCAAAACCTTAATTGAGACAAAAAATAATCACCGAACAACAACTAGGCCAATGAACTGAGCAAATAATCACCTTGCCCAATTCAAATACTCGGGTAGAAAATTATGGATCAATTCGTAGAAATACTTGCTAACACACACTAATAAATATCTCTTCTCATACAGAAATGGGCTACTTAGTTGTTTCCTATATTTTTTTAAATAACTAGCTATAAACTTTATTTTTTATAGTTATTTTTCATAATTATAGTTATTTAATTATTATAATGAAATAATATGGAGTAGTAATAATTGCAATAAGAATAATATGAAAAATTACATGAATAATTTTTAAATCAAACAGATCTTTAAAAAAATAAAGACATAAAAAGTATTCTGCTCCAAATGAAATTAGAGCTTTGTTATTTTATGTTCTATTTCTTAATTAATGTTTCTCAATGTAAATATTAAATAGTATTCAAATATTAACACAAACAAATGTAAAAAATAAAATTATACTCCAAATGAAATAAAAGCTTATTTTTATATTTCTAACTATGGAATTATAATACTTTTCAACACAAATATTATTCTTATTTCATTTATTATTATTTGAAACAAAGCTTTAATTTAATTTGGACTATAAAACTGGAATATATTTTATATGTGTTTTTTAAAATTTGTTTGGATTTATAATTGAATAGGAGTGAGAGGGGGAGGGGGTTGGATTACGGGGCATTGGAGCAAAACAAAAAAAAAGAAAGAAAGAAAAGAGAAAATAAAAATGGACATGTGGCCATGCCTCAACTATGGGATAGAGGAGTGGGATAGAAGAATTGGTATAGAGGATCCCACCCCCCCCACCCCATGTTTGGTACGCAAATTGAAAAAAAATGCTACTACTATGTAATGAAAATCATTTCAATGCACAATTTTTATATGATGAGGGGTGGGTTCGGTTTTGGCGGTTCGGTTTTCACACAAAACCAAAAACAAAACGGAAGGTAAATAAGCGGTTCGTTTCGGTTCGGTTTGGTTCGGTTTTGCATAAAAAGTATGTAAACCGTTAGTTATTTGGTTCGGTTTTATACGGTTTTTATTTTGGTTTTTTTCGGTTTATTGGGTTTATAAAAGTAGAAATTTATAAGAATTAAAAAAAATTATAAAAAACACTAACGCGATGAAACAATAACAATATGTAGTGTTAGCTTTGGTTTTTTGTTTGATTTTTACACAAAAACAAAAATCAAACGGAAGGTTATTGTTTCTTTTGGTTCAATTTTACATAAAAAATATGTGTTGAGTGCTCAACAAACATTTAGAAGATTTTAAATACTTCCAAAGACATTGTATGTAAAATCAAGTACGAAGAATTTATATTTTTTGCTATAATACTTTTATTTTCATTATAACATCAAAGTATTTTTTATGTAAATTACTCGTACAATTTTTAATCTTAATATAATTCCATATTAGGATTCGCTATTGGTGTTCGTATTATTAGGCTATTTTAAAGTTTATAATAATATGGCTAGAATGTTTAATTAATAGTTAAGAAAATAATTTTAATCGACTAGTAATTTATTAGCATTTATATTTTTATGATTTTTCTATATATCACATATATTCATATAAATAAAGTGAAGTATCTAAAAAAGTTTCGTTTATTCGGTTTGGTTCAGTTTTTCAAAGTGAAAAACCAAAACGGAACCAAACACTAACGGTTCAGTTCGGTTTTTTTACATTTGGTTTTGGTTTTTTCAGTTCGGTTTTTTTCTAGCTCGTTTCGATCGATTTCGGTTCGGTTTGCGGTTTTCGGATTTTCCAACCCAGCCTTAGATGAACGTAAAATTGTTTACATATACTGATATACTCCCTTCGTCTTGGGGTACTTGTCCGCTTTTAATTTTTTTGATCAAATTTAGTAATTTGACCACAAGTTAAATAAAAATTATACTCCGTATTAAATATTGATACAAAAATAGTTTTATTAGATTTATTATATAAAATATTTTCAAAATATTACTTTACCTAATTAATATACAATATATTTTTATTTAATGATAGGTCAAATGTTGTAAATTATTATATAAAAAAAATTAAAAATTGAACAAATATTTCAGAATGGTGGTAATAATACAGTATTGATAATAAGTTTAAAGAAAAAATTACAAATAAAGTTATTGAGTTTGAATCTTTTTCCCCCTTATTTTTGTTCCTTCTAAGTCCCATATTATTTCTTTTATTTCCCTTGGACCATTCTATGAGCTGTTCACAAAAATGATCGCAAAAATGATGCACACCAAGTTTAATTTTTTCTTTACTTGGCATTTTCAGTGCCCAATAGAGTTCTTTGTTTATACTCTTTCCATCCAGCTTTAGGGCATATTCTCTTCAATTTAATCGCATTACTTTGTTTACTTATTTTTATTAAATTAAATTAAAAAAATTCTGATCAAATAAAAATGCTAAATCACACTAGAGCAGAGGTAACTTTAACTCCAAGTGAAATCACATCAAATCAACTAGATCAGACTGGGAAGATTCAATTCAAATTATAAAGATTCAGATCAAAAAAATTTAGATCAAAATTAATAAGTTAAGACGAAGAGAACAAGCCCCTAGTTCTTCATTTTCTAAAAAATCTCATTCAAGAAAAGAATTTAAAATATGCTGTATCAAATAAATCTTGTAAATGAGTGTCCCTCATTCATGTCATTTCCTAGGAGATTTTGGACAATCCATCATTATATTTTATTAAATATGATAAATGGACAACTAATTCTGGAGTCTGGCCAGATGGAAAGAAAGTAAACAATTAAACCCAGACAAAGAGAGCAAGTAATAAGATGAATAGAGAGATGGGTACCCTACATAAGGGTGCAGCATCATATGCAAAAGGGTTCTGCCCAAACATATCATCAGAGTTTCTCGACCTTAAAAGATGGGTACACTGAGAAACAATGGACAATATTTTGACCCTCCCAGAAAAGGGAACCCAAGTCATTAATTAGGTTAAAGGCTTAAAGCTAACATCATCAGCAAATTAGTTCCTGTTACCAACTCATTAGATTAACCACCCAAAAGGCCGATTGTGACCGGTCATTGATCACCGTTTGCAGTCGCTGCTTCTGATGAAAGGCGATCCGCCGCGGGAGGAGATTCTTCTCTGGTCGGCCTCGGCTCGTCTTTCCCAGGAACTTCACCCAATCTTTGCTGCTGCATGTAGTACATCTATATGTTACTTTTCCATAAGGAGATTGGCTACACTAATCTCACTAGTTCCACATTCAAGAAGCAAAAGCAAGCGACGAATAGAGTCTACTTTTGGTCATTGGACTAAAGTGATTTGCTACTTTGCCCCGTTTTCTAAAATTGGCCTGTATTTGGTAAATTGACTACTAAAAAGTTTTCGCTATTGGTCTTTGATTACACTTTCATGGATTTGAACATCAATTGGATGACTATAATGCATGTTTGGCAATAGCTTTGGGAATTTGAAAATACTATGTAATGGTAGTGTTAGTTTAGTGACTTCGAAGCTAATATGCATCTTTAAAAAATTATCTATAATACTAACACTAATTAAAAATGTTGTTCCCAAACAAGGTCATAATGAAGATTTAAAAAAAACTTGAGGTCCACATTGCAAGCAAATCAACAGATGCTCTTATGATGAACGTTTTTAAAAAAATAAATAGTGGATTTGAACTATCAAAATATGAAGAAAACTTGATTAAGGTGTTGATTAAGGTTTTATACTAGTCAGAATGCCAAACTGGTCAATTTTGAAGGTGAGGCCAAACTCGAAAAACACTGATTTTACAAGTCGGACTAAGGAACTGGTTGATTTTGAAGGTGAGGATCAAAACCCGAAAACACTACAGTGATTTAGTTGAAGGACCAAAAGTGGATTATTCTCTTCTTGTTTAAGCACATGTAACCCAAACCATGAAACCAAAGAAGATGCTCCCATAGTTGAAGTATGATAATTGGAATTAACAAAAGGTAGGCCTTGTTGAGATACCTTGAGAGAGGCATTCTGAGCACTAAGCTGTTCATACTCACTCTGCATACGACTTATTTCAGCTCTAAGAGATGCATTTTCTGCTTTCAGAGCTTCAGCCCGCTGGGCCAGTTCATCGCATTCTGCCTGACTCAGGAAACAAGAAAACAGTGCTAGTAGTTAATTGAGACTTGCAATGCGAATAAATGCTAGAGAAGGTTGATTTTACCTGCTTGCGCAACCTGGAACGGCGAGCAGACTCCCGGTTGGACTGTTTTCTTCTCTGCCTCTTAAGCTCCTTCTCATTCTGAACATCAAGAATAAGATGATTATAAAAATACTGTGGATTATTAGAAATCAAGGCATCTGCATACTGATTCTGACCACCACATAAAATAAAATTATCAAATGACATAAAAGTCTATTCTGTTTCAAAAAGAAAGTCTATGCTTTCTACTATGGCCTACACCCTCTCCCTAAGTTCATGCTGCAAATATCTACTGTAATGAGTGAACATCACACTAGTCTCTATGTTAATATCTAGTAGAGCAAACTATAATATACACCTGTCCCAAAAAAAGTCATGCTTGGCCAATGTACAACCCCCCCCCCCCCACAGACCTGCTAATCCCCTGCCTACCTTTGGTGTCGATTTGCTACATTGTGCAGGGGGGAGGGGGATGAGCTGGGGCCTGAGGGTATGACTTACTTAGGGCCCAACGGAGCACCGTAGAGTCCCAATTGCCTTGGCATCATAATATGACAGGCTTTGTGTCAAAAGAACCCCACCACATTTTCTCATTATTTGAAAAAAAAACTGTTAGAAACATAGCTTTTTTAAGAATAAAAAGAGGAATACATTCATAAAGAAAGGTGTCAAGGGCAGCTGAGCAATCAGACAACCTGAATCCAATGTTGTGGTTGAACACCCTCTCGTGATCCAGTAGGAACAGGAGCAGAAGGCACTTTCCCTTGAATCGCATGAATAACAGGAGGAGCAGAGCCCCAATAGTCTTCCATTCCAATATTCAAGTTTGTAGTAGGGCCAGCAACACCTAATGCAGTCACGCCACCTGTTGATTGTGGTGCCATTGCCAAAGCATGATCATTGCTCTCTCCATTTTGAGTCGCTTCTCCTGTAATAAAGAAGACAACACAATAATTTTCCATCAAATCAAATGTGTTGTAAATTAGTCACTGAAGGTGCAGTGGTCCTGAATCGTGCCTACCTCTGGACTTTGTTTGTGATCCCTGCAGAAATGACAAACAGAAGATCATTTATTAATAACATACAAGATGTGGAGAGATAGTAAACCAAAGCTAGTTTTGAAAATTAAGAGTCTGTAATTTTTTACTTAATTTCAGTTCAATTTGGTTAAGTTAGTGAAGTTCGGTTTAGCATTTACTTTGTTAATATTACTACTAACTTTGAGTTAAGTTTAGTTCCACAAATTTCAGGCGAAAAAGAATGGGACTCTAAGGTTCCGTTTAGAAAAGGAGAATATGACTTCTGGAAGTCATTTTCCTTATTTTCCATTGTCTGGTAACATAAAAAAGTTGGAGTAAATGGAAATGATGCATTGGTCAATGGAAATTGGAGCCCAATATCCAAAAATTGACTTCCGCTTTGCACTCTCGGAAGACATTTCCATCGTCCATCTTATTCCTCTCGACCTTGCCTCTTCATATTTTTTCCTCATCTTCGTCCCCTCTTGACCTCCCCTCTGCCATCGTCTTCGTGTCCTAGTGTGTTGGTTTCTTGTTTTCTTTGCATTTCGCTTTGTGATATTTTTTCCTCTTCTTGTTTTAGATATTCATTCTCCGGATATTGAAAAAAATCAAATTTATAGCCAAACGCGAGAAAAGGAAAATGATTTCAAGAAAATAACTCATTTTCTCTCTTTCCAAACAGAGCCTAAGTGACAATAAGCAACATTTAAAAACTGATGTTTTCTATAAACATAGCAAGTTCACTACCACAAATATTTCTACAAATCTGAATAATGTAATCTATAAAATACCAACATTTTGAGAATTGACATCGCTCCCTCCAGTTGACCCTTCACTTGCACTCTCCGCACTGACAATTTGAAAGCGCTTAAGTCAGTTTAAGCATTAAACCTTATAAAACAAACAGAAATGTATTCTCATTTATAAGCATTGGGCCAAAAAGCATTTTCTCAAATCACAAATGTAAAGGTTGTCACTCATCCCAATATCTCTAAGCAAGATAACATTTCACACATGGACAAGTTGAAGTGATCCCAATTGTTATAAAAAATAAGGGCAGTGAAAGAACCTCAAAATTCAAAAATTGGAACCAAACAAATGGAGATGTGTACCAATATGCAATAACAACAACAACAACCCACTTGGATCCCGTGAGAATAGGGTCTGGGAGGGTGTGTGTACGCAAACCTTTCCCCTACTCGAACTCGAAAGTAGAGAGGTTGTTTCCAAGTGGTTGTACCAATATGCAAATACATGTAAAACATAAACATTGATACCGATATTTTGAACTTTCACTAACAAAATAGACCTAGAGTGCTAGACAATCTTCTATGGCAAAGCTGCTAATATTTTGCTAATACTTTTCTGCAAACAAGACGAAATATGGGATAGATCATTCGATTGCTTGATTGAATGAATAACATTTCTCAAGCATGAGTAATAACCTCAGACAAAATAGTCAAATACACTTTAGTTAATTTTTATGATATATTCGACTTTTCAAATACTCTGTAATATATCACAAATACCTTTTAGAGTATGCTCCATTAGCAGTTGCTGCAGATGTTTTTCCAAGTTCATTATTTTCCTCTGAAGCCATTTTATAACTGCGCATGCCTCCCTTGGATCTTTTAATAGGTAACTTTTCCTTCCCTTCAGATGCCTTGCTATTTACTTCTACGTTTCCAGAAGTATTAGCCTAAAATGAATATTGAGAAATAAAATGAATTAAACGTATATATCATAATAAGTGGTGGTGGTCTAAAATTTTAGGCTATAGAACTCACTGAAGTCTCTGAAATGCCATTCGGAGAGGGCATTGGAAATGGACTAAACGGGTAAGATCCCTGATTTGAAATTAAATACATAAAATGTTAGTAAAAACTACAAATAATGGGGGGATACAAACTGGAAATGGAGTAGAATAGTAAGATCCCTGGTATGTTGGCAAATACATAAAATGTTAGAATAATCTACAAATGGGTGACGAATACAATCTGGAAGTGCCGAAATGGATTTGAAAGAAAGGAGAAAATACTGGCGGAATGGATGGATGAGCATAGATACTGCCATGTGGATACACTGCAACATAAGGATGGGGTGGAGTACCATAGGGTGGCATTAGATGCTGCATAACAAACCAAAAAAATGTTTTATCATAAAAGGGGTTAAAAGTTACCTCATAGAAGGAAAAGAATCTTGGTTTAGCTTATTATACATTTTTATCGGAGACTAGTTTATTAAAGTTAATAACCTCATATCTCAAGGGAGTATGATTCCTATGACTACATCGAATATAAAAAAAGACATGAATGACCACATACAAACTGAAATAGCACTAGAGATATAGTCATGAAACTTTTTTAATCATTCCATGTATGATAACATTAGGCAATTACCCGCCCTATTGAGTGGGGGGGGGGGAAACTAAAGGTGAAAAGTGGGGGATCAGTGCTCTAGCATACATAATCTTTTAGGAACAAACCAAGAGAAAAAGATGCCCGTCTTCTGATATATTTCCCATTGAAAATTGCACTAAGACATAAGTAACATAACTTAGTTCATATGCTAAGCTCCTAGAAACAAGGCACCATAAAATACCACTTATCTTCAGAAAGTTGATTTAGACTAAAATACAACTCTCTCACATGGTTTAGGCACTTCTCGACTCAGTGATACGGGCTTGTGGGAGGGTCTCGGGAATCAAATCAGCTTAAGAGTCTTCGTAATGCTCCGTATTATTAGTTTCCTGGAATTATTATGTTACAGATCAAGGTTTAAAATTTGATTTGTTGTTGTTGTCCTTGTTGTCATCATCATTAGTAGCAGTGGTAGTGAATAGTAATATTCTTCTAGCAGCATTAGTAGTATATTTGAGTTAATCATTTGATAGCAATATGCATTAGGTTAGAGCTCTATGAACGTGCAATCTTCCTTATTAGTCTTGGACTACATGATCCAAAGTTCTTTCTCTTCTAGCCATGGGCAAGAGAGTGGTTCTTCATATATCTCAAGATCTCTTCAGATGCCAAATAATTTGGTATAAGAGCAAGAATTAAGCATGGCACTTTTCGAGTCTGACATATTGGCCATCCAGTAGCGAGAATTCATGGCAGCCACCACCACCAAGCTCGCAACCATTGCTGAGAAGATCTCCACCCTTGAGGTATTCCACTAGGCATTGTGGGGGAAAGTCACAACCCTACATAGTAAAGATTCTGGAAGAATGCCCTTGGACGGCATTTAGGAGAAGAATTCCAGCAGCATGCGTGAAGACTATGTCTTAGAAAGGGTCTGATACTCTGGCTATGGTGAAACCGAGGGCTGCAAATCAGGGGGGGGTCTCTGGCTCTCCGCAGGACCAGACAGGGTCCACCCTTAACAGCAACTCACTCTTTTTATTATGGACCATAACCCAATCATACCTACAGATTGATGTCCGGCACGACAAACCACAAAACTTAGGGTTTGATATGAATCTCTCCAGCACACTCGCACACAGATTGATCTGTGCACCATTGTGGATCCATGTGAAGACACTACTTGTAAAACTTACCCTTCTGAACCTTCCTGGTCCCCCCCCCCCCATTCATCTTGGATGATTATCGGGCAGAGGAAGACCCACTGAACAGGAGGCGAACAAGCTCAAATTTGAGGAGGGAGTAATACTACAGATCTGGGGTTTAACATTTAATTAGTTATTAGTAGTAGTAGACTAGTAGTAGTAGTAGTAAGTAGTAATATTTTCCTATTAGCATTAGTAGTCTATTTCATTAGCACTAGCATTTGTAGCCGATTTCTATTAACTTTGATAGCAAGATTTAATTAGGTTAGAAATTAGAACTCTATTAAAATGCTCACCAAGACTCTTGAGAGTAGTATAGATAGAGGGCTTGTATTTATTAATAAGATCATCTTTGAAGCAATAAAACAATTCTTCCTGATTATTCATGGACTATAGGATCCAAAGTTTTTCCTCTTCTAGCCACAGGCAAGAGAGATGTACTTCATCTATCTCAGGGATCTCTTCAGATCCGTAACATATTACTAATATTTTCATTGGTAATCTTATTCTGTTTTTTAATATTCATAATACCAATATTGTACTCCCTCCGTCCCTAAATAAACTTCCCTTTTTGACTTTTTGGAAAATTAAGGGATGGATATTTTGGTGTTGACTTTCCAAAAATACCCTTGATGTGATGTGTAAAAGTAAGATGTGATATGTAGATTATTAGTAAAAAGGTATGATGTGATAGGTAGAGTATGAAAAAGTAAAGGGTAAAAGGGGTTTTTTAAGGGAAAAGAGAAGTTTATTTGGGGACAAAGAAAAAATGAAAGGGGAAGTTTATTTGGGGACGGAGGGAGTATTTGACTAGAACTTTATTTACTTGCTCACCAAGACTATTGTGATATTATAAATAGGGGTGCATCTTCATCAATGATAGATAGAATTACAAGCTTAATTGCAGACTTTGCAGACTTTGACCAGTTCAACCATCTCAAGGGTTTATGTCACGGTCAAGAGAGTCTGTCATATCTTACCCCTGCCACGCTCACAACCTTTGATCGTAAGAGCAAACTGTTCACATCTACCTTTCATTTTTCTCCTTGGTCCATGTGCCAAAAAGCAAGTAAACATATGCACCGCGACAGAGAGAGTAATAGATTATAACTCTATATACTTGCTCACCAAGAATATTGCAAGTATTATAAAAAGGAGTTTACCTCCATCAACAATATATATAATTGCAAACTTAATACATATACTTTAAAAATGTCAGATCTCTCCAGAGTTTCGGTCAGACTTCAGAGGCAAAATTCTTCCTATGTATGATCGGTAAAGAGAGTTCTCCGGTTCTCCCTATACCTACCACGCTCATGACACTGAAATGACTAACAGCGATAGATATCGGAAGGCAAAAGTGATTAATATTGACAATGACAGACATAAAATAGGTCATCATGTCCCATTTTTGTGTATATTTTAACCATAAAAGATCAACCTGAACGGATTAGAATAATTTCAAGGTGCATCTATCAATCAGTTATTTATATGCGATAAGTCTTGGTTTCAAAGTTTTCTTTTCCGCATAAGAATATAAAAGTTGCAAACACACACACACACACAATAAAGCAACAATCCAGACCTGAACTCCCCACACATAAGGGTGTGCTTGAGGATTTGATCCCAAGAACCCATGCGGAGGCACAGGAGAGTATGCCTGCATAATGACAGCCCATTATTTATAGAAAAAATAAATATAAATGATGGATCAGTAATAAAAGTGAGGTATTTGTACATATTTCCCCAAAAGACCTACTTCTAAGTAGAATATACGTGGTTTTTTGGTTTGGTTTATGGCCCAATGGTATAACCTTCAGAATAAATGAGGATTAGCAACAATGGGAGCAGTAGTTTTTCATGTATCATGGTCTACATGTTTTTACGATATAAATCCCACAATTGTACACAAATATGACAACTATATCACGCCATCACAGTTTCATGATATTGTCTATTCCGTATATGTGTGTGTGGGGGGGGGGAATGATGAAGGTGGCAGTTTTGACATCCCATTCTTTCTTTTTAAGAAGATTACAACGCAAAAGTCGCCTAGCGTAGAGCTTTGTCACTATGTTTTTTCATGAAATAAGCCTTAAATGATTTAAGATAATTGATTGACCCTTCAAATTTCATGACACTAACATTGTAGAGATTAAGGTGCCGCCGTGCCGGTGATGAAAAAGATGGATAATAAATAAACATTAAGCCATTAATAAGGTGGTGGTAATGAACAAAGGAAGTAGCACCCAAACAAACACTATCAAAAGAAACTCAACCTGAAACCCTGGCCACTCTGGATTGACAGTGCTGGTGGTTGTGGCGTGCTCCTGCAGAACCTCAATACATGTAAAATTCTAGCAGTATGTCTGTCATTCATTGTATATATTAAAAAGAATGAAGAAAAACATGTTTACCTGTGAACTAGGAGTCAAAGGCTCCTTTGCTTCTTTTGGAGATTTATCCCGTTCACTACTGCCCATGGTCCAACAGCTCAATCTCCTATGAACCCCAATTCATGAAGCTATAGATCCTCAATGGTCATTATTAAGAAGTCTATGAGCATTCACTTCATATGAGACGAATAACACAACAACAACAACAACAACACCCCATTTCTGGGGAAGGTGTGTATACGCAGACCTTACCCCTACTTGAAAGTTGAGGCTATTTCCAAGAGACCCCCAACTCAAGTAACACATGCAACATATTGGCACATACTAAGCATGTAAGGTATATAAAGCACAGAGAACAAGTAGCAAAGAGTGAACTAGTAAAACATATTAACACATAGCACATATGCGACGAATAACACAATGTTCAATATTTTTCACTTCAAATTAAACAAAACACTATAGCAATGAATCTCTGTTGTTATGGAGTTAGTGCTTCTTAAACTTAGAAAAATCGATATTAACACATATGTAAAGACATAAAATACAGAAAATTGCATCTATGATATGTGCATCCATGTGTGATGTGCCAATAGTAATAATAAGAAAAAAATGCAACCTTTGGACTCGAAAAGCTTTAAATATACATACTCTTCTGATTTTTCACAGACAATATTATAATTATACCACATTACCACAGATTCTAGAGTTCACACTCTTACAGATGCACATATGAGAATACGGAAACATTTGTAAATGGATAAATGCAATGCAGCTGAACCAGAGAAAATTGTGTCGAGTGAGGATATATTCGAATGTATGATTACTTGAAAAATTAATGCACAAAATTAAAAACTCTAAATTCTAGAGACACAAAATGAGTCTCTTGCCTCAACTAATACGCCTGAAACAACATGTTGAGCTCTGATAATTTTTCATCTGAAAATTTAAAAAAAAAACACAACTAGAGGATATTCAAGTCCTGAGAATACATCAAAATGCAAAATTGAGAAAAAATCCGGGAGTAGCGTGGATTAAAATTACCGCGACGGAGAAGGAGAATCGGTGAATTGTGAGAAATAAAGCAGCTCAGCCTCACTCCGAGCTCACTGCGTCCAAGCTCAACCAAACAATTCTCAGATACGTATAAGTTTGTGGAATTTGGAGTATGTTTCCGTACGCGGAATTTGTGCAGTCGATGGGAGGAGAGACAGAGTGTGTCTAAACGTTTTGCCGTCGGGACGGCGAGTCGCCGTTTCCGGTGATCTGCAGAGAGAGAGAGTGAGCGCGGGGGGATGACGGTGCAGTTTCGTTATCCCGGTGGGCGTCCGATTGGTTGATGACTGGGTTAGCTGATTGTGTGTCGTGGACCCTCCTCGACGGCTCAATTTGATGGATTTTGGTTTGACATGCGCAAACAAAGGGCCCGTCTAGGCCGCCCCTATCAAAATGGATATGGACCTAGATCCGAAACCAAGTTCTAGTGCGAGTGAGGGTGTGGAAAGAGCTAAAATCTTTTATTGTCACAAGTAGCCAATTTACATAAAAATATTTTAATACTCCGTAAATCATTCGTCACATACTACCTCCGTCTCAGAGTATTTGTCCACTTTCATTTTTACACACCATCCAATACACTTTTTTAAATCATTTTATCTTGTAATTTGTATATTAAAAAATTATAGAAATTATATATTAATAATTTATATATTAAGACAAATCAAACAAGATCACACATGACTATATTTAGGCTTACACATTGGGAGAATTTGATGAGTCAAAGTACTTAGATTACAATTCCAAAAGTCAAAACTGGACGAATACTCCGGGACGGAGGGAGTATTAATAACTTGAATGACGTTTCATTTTTAATCAAAATATGGATATATCCAATTTAAGTTATATAGCAGTATATTCCTTATATATAGAGTACCGCTATAAATTTTTGAAAGAAACTGCCAAAATAGAAGTAAAATATAGAGAAAGTAGCAATATAGGAGTTCCATATTTATTATCCTCACAATATAAGCTACAATGCCAATAATTTCAATATATAATGCCAAAAAACATTATTACTAAATACTTCGTAGTTTATAATTTATAAATAGAGAGAAAGACCAAAGTAGGACTAAAACATTGAAAATATACCAAAATAGGACTTCCATGTTTTTTTTCCCGAAATAGGACTTACATTACCAAACATGGTCATATACATTACTAAAAAAGTATAGTAATGTACACATGTACACTGCCACATTACCACAGGGCAAAGTCACATTACCACAATGCAAAGTCCTATTTCGGGGAAAAAAACATGAAAGTCCTATTTTGGTACTTTTCTCTATGTTTTAGTCCTATTTAAGGTGATTTCTATTATAAATATGTGACTTATATATTTAAGACGATATTTTCTAAGAGAATGATGTGTGTCACCTCACTTTTAAACAAATGAGAAAATTACCAAATAGTTGCAGTACTCCATGTGATTTGGAATTAGCAACAATACCCTCACTGTTTTCAAAATTTAATTCTTAAGTCCTCGTAGTTTAAAAACATTATATTCACACTTCCTCTGATCATTTTCCAGCGAAGAGGAGCATTGGTGCATATTTTCTAGTCAATTTTGACTTGGCTCATTTCTTGTTTTTTGTTTATCATTTAGATTTATCATTTCTTTTAACTTTTTTTATCTCTTTCTTTCATTTTTTCAAGTCATTTTTATCTCTTTCTTTCATTTTTGTTATCTCTTTCTTTCTTTAAGAAATGAGCACCAGTACCCCTATGGTTTGAAAAAATGTACCAATGTCTCCTTCCGACGAACACTCCGGCGTAGCTCCTTGGTTGGTCCGTTGGCTCGGTTCTTTCTTCTTTGTTTGCGACCACGCTCTCTGTTCTCCGTTCTTTTGTACTCTGTATTTATAAAGTGGGGGAGGGTTTTGTACTTTTGTAATACATGTAGAAATAGGTTTTATTATTATTATATTATTATATTATTATATTATAAAATCTTTATATTTATTTATTGACTATTTTACCCACCACGCTCTACTCGTAAGTCTGAACTTAACAAAACTTATATCGTCGGTCACCATTTTATGAGACCTACCAAAAAATTTAATTTTTAAACAAAATGGTTAACTTTACAAATAGTTCATATTTTTTAGTAATAAAAGAGTATATTTGTTTTTATTAAAGTAACAACTAACTACTAAGCCAGTTTTCAGGGCGTTACAATTATACTTTGACATGATGTCGATAGTATTAAAAATGGGGCTAGAAAGATATTCTCTTTAATTTAAGGAAAATAGGGCGTTGAAGATTATTTTTTTGAATCGATAAAAATTCCGTTCGAACATGTGTGTGACACGGGTCAAAACACTAGTTTTACTTAAAAAACGATATAAATATGAAATTCTAATAATATATATATATATATATATATTCATATATTCATATAAATAAATAAATAAAAGTTTAGGGAACGAGAATATAAAGTCAGGTAATAACAAAAAAATATATTTATATATAAAATGTGAAAGTTCGGCTTCTAAAATTGTGGCATGCGGCGTACTTATTGGTATGAAATTTGTGTGTAACAAATACAAAATTTAATTTTTATAGAATAAGTTTTTTTGTTAACTAATTCTTTAAATATAACTTGATGACATGACGTGCTGACATGTCAAAAAATTGCCCAATAAGGTTAAACGCGATATTGCTATGAAATATTGCTATGAAATTCATATGATCTAGCATCTACTATATTTTATTCTCATTTCTTTTATGGAAAGTCATCACGAACTTGCCCATATATATATATATATATATATTAGTAAATTCCATAATTGGTCTTTTATAACAGGGGGTTTCCATATTTAGTCCTCTATTATCAAATATTACCCCCGCAGTCCTTTTTTTAAGAGTATCTTTCCACAAATTGTCCTTTTTTTGATCTTCTGCCGTGTTGGTGTTAATTTAAATGCTAAAAATATAATTTGACGTCAATAGTATGTCTAGTGACGTGTTCTGATATTGGTTAAGTGGATAACAAAAAAATAATGACTATGATTGTAGATTAGGATTCTGACGAAAGATCACATTTGTAGACGGAGGACAGACCTCTGTACCTTTCCACAAATATATATAGGCACACACGCGGAGTATATCCCAATTTAATTTAATTTTTGTCGAGACGGAGGACACAGCCAACTTCACAATATTTTCTCACTGTCTTCCATAAACTCATACAAGGGCAGCATACTTTGACTTCACAAGCTTCTCTCCTTCGGCGTACGGCAGCAGCCAATTCGCCTTTCTTCCATTGACATTCAGGTATTTCTTCATCAATAATAATTATCTGTTTCAATCATCCAGAAATGAAACGCAATTATTAGATGTTTTTATCATCTATGAATTTTAGATGGTTAAAATTTCAAATCTGGATCATTAATCTGCAATCTTGTATATGCCATATGTTTTTTCGAAGATGTTTATGAAAAAGAAACAGTCCACATATTTTATTTTCACGTTTAGGACTTTAGGTTAGTGTTTGTTCTGTAAAAAAATTAAGTTTTGCAAATATATACTGAGTATATTTTTATTTTCCACTGAATGATTGGACTGTGTGTGTGTGTGTGTGTGTATATATATATATATATATATACTATGTGTATTACTGTATTTGACAGCTTCTTAAATATTAAAAGCTTTTATAATACTAAGATGTTTGTATTTTAATTTTTAGCACTATCTATTACATTAAGAAATCTGTATTTGTTCATTTATATAAAAAAAGATTATGCAATTTTTGTCAGATTTATTTTTATTGCTTAATCTACAACTACAACAACAAACCCTGTATGATTCAAGATTAAGTTGGGGTCGGGGGTCAAGAGGATTTTTCTGTTATTGCTCGAGCAAAAGAACTTTTTATGAGATACTGGATTGCTAGTGCGAAAAAGTGAACAATTTTAGTTCAGCTCATAAAGAGAACGAGCTGTTTTAATGTCTCAAAAAGTTTGAGTTATGGTTAATGGGAACCACAAAATAGCCCTTTTTATTGCTATAGTTAGTCTCTCGCAGAACTCTGCAGTATGCACAACTCCCACTTTCCAGTTCCAAGTTCCAACTCTACATTTATAATTTATTGAAAACAACACACTCTAAAAGTTATACTGGTAGCAATTTGCAAACAAAAAGGGGGGGAGATACTTCACTGAAAAGCCCCCACCTACCATTGTCCCTAGAGAGCCTACTTTTATTCTTGTTACCTGTTCATCAGTCAATTTTGGCAGAAAAATTGGTAGAGCAAACTGCATTGTATAATACAAGGATTAATAATAATTGTAGTAATAATAATAATATGGAGTAATATAATTATACGTAGTACATAGTATAAGATTATATAAGAATCTGCAAATAAATCACAAGGGTTTACAGGTTAGTACTGAAATTTGTGAGTAATTGATTATTTGTGAGCAATATGTAAGCGATTGATTTTTTGGTTTTCTGGTGCAGCTCACTTTACAGATTGCACTTTGGGTGTCACCATTTAGGTGATCATTGACAAGATGGCTGTGTAAGATTGCGATTTGATATTTTATCATCCTTTTTTTTGTGTAGTTATGGTAAAGTATTGTTAATCTTAATGCACAGCTGATGTGTGTTCCTCTTTCGATTCTTTTGATGGTTGGATAGTGTTGCCTCTGCCCCGGGAAAGGTTTTGATGACCGGAGGGTATCTTATCCTTGAGAGGCCCAATGCAGGGATAGTCCTGAGTACAAATGCTCGATTTTATGCCATCGTGAAGCCGTTTTATGAGGAGATCAAGCCCGATAGTTGGGCATGGGTGAGTCATTACAGTCTTTTAATATCCACTCAATAGTGGTTTTAGCAGTGACATGGTGGTCTAATTAGTTGACTTTCAAGTTAATGAGTTCATCTGGTGGTAAACAAAAGTTGGCATAAGATACACTGAGCTATATTGAGATGGTTTTGGTCGCGTGTAGTGGAGTACTGATGTCGGTGAGGAGGTGCTAGAGGTTAGATGTAGAGAATTTGAAGAGGAGGTAGAGGTAAACTGAAAAAGAGTTGGAGTGAGGTGATTAGACAGAGCTTGCACCTTTGACAGCTCACCCAGGTCATAACTTTGGGTAGGAGCGCTTGGAGGTTGAAGATACAGTTATATCGTAGCCCTTGATAGTAGTCGTTTCTCTGAGTGTCTAGGGCTTTTAGGAATAGTTAGATTTAGTAAGGTGTTTGTATGGTTTTTATATATCTCTCTTTTTTTGGTTTACCTTGTTGAATTGTACTAACATTTATCTCTTGTGCTTGAGCGGTTCCGACCCCACTTGTGGGATGTTGGTTGGTTGGTTGTTGCAACTTTAACTGGTTAAGAATGGATTGACAGTTTATTCTGTAACCTAGGCTGCATTGTGACTGCAGGCATGGACGGATGTGAAGTTAACTTCTCCTCAGATGTCAAGAGAAACACTCTACAAATTGTCACTTAAATCCTTCAAACTCCAGCCTTTATCTAATAGGCAAGCTTACAACTGCCTCCCAGTTATTTTATTTTGTTGCTTGAAGGGGATTTTTTTTCGCTTGAAGGGGAAGTATGCATAGTCAGATCCATACGCAATCTGAAATTTTATTACTACGTATTTGTAAGTTTTCATATAATGATATTACTTTGTGTTGATGGTTGTATAACAGTGATTCAAGAAACCCCTTTGTGGAATATGCAGTGGAGTATGCCATAGCAGCAGCATATGCAACCTTTGACAAGTATAAGAAGGATGCATTACATAAACTACTTTTGCAAGGTTATATATTGTACTCTGATTATTCACTTGACTGTCTACAAATTAGACTTATCCTTAAATACAATGTTAATTTTTGTTTAAATGAAGTTTTCAAAGAAAGTGAAAAGGCAATATACATTATAAGTGGATTAGTCATGCAGGTCTAGACATTACAATCTTGGGGTGCAACGAATTTTATTCATATCGGAACCAGGTATTCCCACCAACAACCTATTGAAACATATAAAAATGATTTGTTTGCATTATAATGTACACAAACAAACAAATAAATGTTCTAACATGTTTTTATGAGTATCGAGCTGGACTTCGAATACTGCAGCAGGTCCAGTGGCCCTGCAGTGTACACTATAATGGACACAATTAAATTAAATTATAGTCTACAGAGTTCGTAAATTTCCCAGACCCTAATATCGTGGGATCCAAGTGGGTTGTTGTTGTTGTTGTAGAGTTTGTAAGTTTGTTTTCATCTCTTATACGTTCTAACACTAACATTCAATCTCTTATACATTGTAGATTGAAGCACATGGACTTCCTCTCACACCTGAATCATTGGCTTCTCTCCCTCCTTTTGCCTCAATTACCTTTAATGCAGAAGAAGCAGGCAGAGAAGGTCGAAAACCTGAAGTTGCTAAGACTGGATTGGGATCATCAGCAGCTATGACAACTGCAGTTGTAGCTGCTTTGCTTCATTATCTTGGTGTTGTTGATCTTTCCTCCTTTACCCATGAACAACGTCAAGAAAAGAAAGATGTTGATGCTCTTGACATTGTACATGTGATTGCCCAAACAGCACATTGTATTGCACAGGGTAAAGTTGGTAGTGGATTTGATGTGAGTTCTGCAGTGTATGGAAGCCAACGCTATGTACGGTTTTCACCCGAAGTGCTTTATCCTGCTCAGGTATGAATATTAGCATGATTGTTAGGCAGGAAGAAGAACATTTCTATTTATTATTTCTGCCTAGTGACCATTTTGGAGGAATTTCATAGTTTTTTGTCGTATTCATCCAAAATCAGTATTCTTATTTTATTATCAGATTTACTAAACAGCAGAATAATATTCACAGCAACTATTTTCTCTCGACCAATTTTTAATGTCATGGATAATTAGTTGATTTGTCCATTCCCCCCTTTTTGTTTTTGTATGAAATTTCAGAACGCAGGCATGGCAACTCCACTTACAGAAGTCATCAGTGAGGTCCTAAAAGCAAAGTGGGACCATGAGAGGACTAAATTCTCATTGCCTCCTTTGATGACTCTTGTAAGACATATTCCATGTTTCTTTTTGTATATTTACGTATATGCTACAAATGCTATGATATCAATTGTGTATATACTATATACTCCGGGAAATTGCTGTTAAGTGCTAACAGTTATAACTTAAAAGAAGCTCTTTTAATGTTTATTTAAGAAAGCATTGATTTTATTTCTTTTCAGAAAATCACTTGAAGGTTTTAATTTGGAAGTACATATGATAATAGCACACTTGTACCATAAGTTATTCCAAACAGGCTCATGGGGTCTAAAATCAAGCATCTTATGCTTTTTGCTGTGCAAGCTGAGACCTTCAAGATAATTAAAGCCATTTCTTGGATAGCCAATTAACCATTAGTTAACCTTGAAATAGCAGTTAAATTACGTAGTATTTTTTTTAACTGCTGCAGACCTTTACTTCTGCAGAGTAATTAGTTTTTTTTGTTATAATTTAAGAACATATACCTGCATTATAAATTTATAAGTGTTATGGGACTCTTGAAGTTACTAGGAGAGCCAGGAACGGGAGGATCTTCCACACCATCAATGGTAGGTGCTGTAAAGAAATGGCAGAAGTCAGACCCTCAAAATTCACATGAAACATGGATGAAGTTACTGAATGGAAACTCTACCCTTGAAATACATCTGAATGCCTTATGCAAGTTGGCAGAGAGTGATTGTACTTCATACGAGTCTATTATCAACAACTGCAGCACGCTCCCAGCCGGAAAGGTAAATCCTAGTGGCTTCTCTTAGGGTCTGTTTGGGACCCGGAAGATGCTAGGGTAAGAAAAATTAGGTGCAATTATTGATTTAAAATCCATTTGAGATATTTTTGTTCAAATGCAATGGAGATATGTTTCTATTATATAAAGGCTATAAATAAAAGTATATCTGCAAAATTTTTAAAAGTTGTCATCTAATTGAATTTTCCTTTATATTTTTAAAGATATGACTAAACATTTAAAACTGTTTCTCATTGCATCTTTTTCCCTTTCTCTAAAATTGACCAATAGAGGTGTACACCAAAGAAGGAATTCACAGACAAACCTTGTCTCTGAATTCCTCTTTTAGTGTTCACCTTGGTCTACATCAAGTTTAATTCTTTTGAAACACAGTTTTAAGCAATATGGGTAATTGACGTTGAGCGATCCACATTCTCTCAGAGCATATTCTATACTAAGAATGTGGTTGCTAAGCCCTTGAATGCTAAATCAAGTTTGTGGATGTTTAAGTTGACCTTTGTGAAAACTTTTTGTTCCACGTCAACAGTGGAGGGAGGCAGTTAGTGGGCCACATCAAGCAGAAGTCGTGAAGGATTTGATGGGAGCTCGGGATGCAATGCTTGGTATCAGGTATCACATGCGTAAAATGGGCGAGGCTGCAGGAATCCCAGTGAGTTTTCTTGTTCAAGAAAAAAATTTGTACTCTATTTTAAATCTCCTTTTCACTATCCTGATGAAGAAACACAAGAAAATGTGTTAGATAGGACTGTATTACTCAGCATGACCGTTTTTTTTCAAATGTCAATCTTTTTCTATTTTTTCAAAAACATATTTTTTTTTTCAATTTTGAAACTGCTCGAAAAAAGTTTAGATTTTTTGAAATAAATATCATGTGAAAAATATCACGGGGCACAAAATAAACTGTGAAAAAAACACAGAGGATTGAAGAAATTTATAGGCTGGCTGCTGGTCAAATTTTAATCCCTCTAAGCATGGGTCTGCAGATAGAACCAGAAACACAGACTCAGCTTCTGGATGAAACGATGAGTATGGAGGGAGTTGTGTTGGCTGGTGTGCCCGGTGCTGGTGGTTTTGATGCGGTCTTTGCTGTTACATTAGGCTCATCATCATCTTCATCAAGCAACAATCTCATGAGAGTGTGGAGTTCACACAATGTGCTCCCTCTCCTTGTCAGGGAAGACCCTCGCGGTGTTTCCTTGGAGACCCATGGTGACCCCAGAACACGACAAGTCACTTCCGAGGTTTCTTCCATCAAGATTGATGATTGAATTACCACATCAAAGAACTTCAGCACATCAAAGGTAGCTTCTTTTGAGTCTTTAAGATAAAACTGCAATTTTGTGTTGTAACATTGTTGTCATTTATTTGTGTTTCCCCCAAATTTTATCTGCTCAACCAATAAAATATGTACCAATTTTTATTTCAGTAAATGAAAGCAAATTGTAACTGTTTTACAACATTCATCGTCAAGTTTGTTCTGAAGGAGGAACAGTTTCCTGGGATATACCAAGTACAGAGAGAGATGTATTTTAAGCTGGAGTGTGTGTACGCAGTACTATAATTGATACACCATTTTGTTCATATATACTCTGCATCAACAAGAAAATTTATGTCGGAAATTTGTTGAATAATATGGCTCAAGTGATCAACATATTCTTCATTAATACTTGGTAATATGTTAATTGGGTGTTGTGTAGTTATATTAAAATAATCTTAAGAGATGAATTCAGTTATTGTTTGAAAATATTACTCCATAATTAATAGAGAATTTTGTGGATATGCATGAATGATTTGTTGGTGTTTTTAGTGTCATTGACTATTTTATGTAATTAGATTTACTTAGAATAGATGAGAATTTTAAGAGATGTCAACATGTTGGAGTTGTGGAGTGTACATTCATTCAATGATATTACAAATTCTATAGTGGGGGTTTGGGGGTGGCAGTCCCCGGTAGTTGGGTCCAAGGGGCGGCAGAGCTGTCGGGATAGTTGGGAAAGTTTTTGGTTTTAACGTAGTTGTTTAATGAAAATTCTTAGAATTTTCGTAAGCAAGTTCAAAGTAATATACATTTGAATGCATAAAACAATATATTTGAATGTAATGTTTATCCCTAATGACTTTTGTAAAATTGTCTGATATCATTGAAGGTTTGATCTCAAATATTTGAATGTTTTGCGATAAGTTACAACGGTTCGTACTAGCTGCAGAAATAACCGTTTACTATAGCCCATGAACATTCGAATGTTTTAGTGCAAATATTCAAATGTTACTTGAAAGTTGTGATGTTTCATCAACCAACATGTTTGTTTGGCATTTTTCCTATAGATAAGGCTCTATGGAATGTTTTGAGACAACTAGGAACTTTCATACTCGTTCTAGATTACTTACGTCTTATCTGACTGAACTATTTTGTATACCTCAATAAACTTTAATATGAAAGTGTGTATATGCAATTTGCTAAGTCTATCAAATTGCTTTTCACGCTCTCCGTATATCGATTCTATAACGCTGTTTCGCAGCTTATTGTCCCTCCCTATTTTCCAACATGGTTTTGGTAAACCCGTGTCATTCTAAAATGCATAAGCGATTTGTTTTTCAAATTGAAAGTGCATGTGATAGGAAACTATTCTTCAAAGGCACAATATTGACTATGAATTTGTGTGGAACCATTAGAGTTGTATGGATGAAAGTATAATGGCTTTTATCTACTCTTATTTTTTTTTACAGTTCTAGAAATAGAGTATAGATTACTCTATGCCTTTGTCATAACTCATAAGTCATATGTGTTCTCATTTTGAACTTTCACGGTTTTTTAGAAGAGTTGAAAAAATATAAAAGTTTACTAAAATACTTTTAGGACTTATACTTTTAAGTACATCCTAGAAAGACGGGAAAAAATTGGAAGTTAAAAGTTTAAATTTCAAAGAACATGCTTTTAATGAAAGTGGGTAGAATATGTTGAATGTAGTAGGTGATGGCAACTACTACTCATCACTTAAGATTCTCTCAATCTCTCCTTATGGAAAGTCTTGGATTCGAGTCACCTACCAACAAAATAGGCATAATTTTACCTATTAATAGGGTTGCGAGTTTGACTCTGTGTTCGTATGTATTACTAGAACTGACAATCTAATAACATCTTGGCCCTAATTGGGGTATGACCAAACGAATAGAGGCAAGCGATGTATACAAATCTATAGATTCAAAATAGGGATTGGATTTTTTGTGGTGGGGTCACAATGAAGTGGTTCGACTAGTATAAGAATTGAAGTTTACTTTGTAAACTTTTATCGGTTGGTGTTACGCACTTGGCAAGACAAAGTTTCAAGAGGATAACACTTGAATTCGATTTCTTGCAACAATGCTAAGCATAAGGTTTTTCAAGTACTTGGTATAAGCTCTACTTCCTACCTCTAATCTGTAATTAAAGTATAATTTATCTCCTCTAAAATGATCGATGGCCGGTTTAAAAGAACCCTTAGAGATGGGCATCTTTTTTTAAATGAAGTGAGTGAGGTATAATAATAAAGTAAGCGAGGATTATTGTAGTAGTTTAATTGTTAAAAAAGGTAATGAGAAGATTATTCTCGGATAAATAAACATGATATTTGAAAAGATTTTTCTCGCACACTGAGAGTATATTTTATACACTCTATTCCTTATAACAGTTCATCTTTCATTTTTTTCATTTTCTCAAAAACACTTCCATTTTTTGTAAAAAATGGCTAATATGTCTAAATTAAGTTTTTACAATATACTCCATTTAATTTGCATTGATATAATAAGTCATGTAAATGATTTGTCTCTCTTTTTTTCTTCGATAATAAGAGTATAATTAGAAAGTCAAACTATGAAATTAAATCTCTCCCAAGTCAAAATAGGAACTATTTTAAGGAACAGATGGAGTATAAAATACTCGTTTAGTGATATATATTTTGTTAGTAACCAACATATATTGTACACCTTTTTTTATTTCTGTTAGACAATAACAATAATAATAATAATAATAATAATAATAATAATAATAATAATAATAATACTCCGTATTAATTATGATAGTGTTTGCTTATTAGTCAACTTATTGGGTTGACTAACAATTTCAAAAGTTAAGTTTTGTAACTTGACTATCATATCATAGGGTGATATGGGTTATGTTTTAGACTGGTTCTCAGGGCTATTATAATAAGAATAGATACTAAACTTTTAATAAAATATGAAGATTCACATAACGATGAGTAATATTTGATTATTCATCTTTGTCAATTACTCCATTCATTCTAAATTAAATTATATATTTGTTATTTGCAAGATCAAACTTTATTCACTTTTCTTATATATTTTTGTTATTCATTTGATTAAATAATATAGTTATTTCATCTCTTATTTTGAAGAACTTTTACTCTAATTTTTATCCCAATTCTCTTATAAATTGAATAGAAAATAATTCAGTCAAACAGTGTAAATTGAAACAAATATTTAATACTGGGATGAAAAGAGTAAATGCTTACAACAATAATACCAAACTAATAGAATTCTACAAGGATAGGGTTTGGGGAGGATGTTTGTATGCCAACCTTATATCCAAAGGGACGTAGAGAAAATATTTTAAAGAACCCCTAACTCAATTTGTACAGAAAGCATATAGCACATATAAAGAAGCATACTTCAAACTTAGGATATAGCACCAAGCATAGAAAGTATATGAGGGCAAATGCATAAACTATCCCAAGGTCTAAACATTTACCCTATTATCCAGATCCTAGCTTCAAATGCTTATTTTTCAATAATATGAACTCGAGATATATATAATTTAGATTATTTAAAACAAATAAAGATACTTGTAACATCATCTCGGATCACTCCTGGGACAATCTTCGAGATGTCAATAAAGTATTCAAGAGAACAAAAATTGTTAAGATAAATAGCATTTTTTTGCAAGCAACTGGATATTACATTTCCTTTGGTTTTGGAGATGAGTTTTCAGGGATAAATAACAATTTGTGTCGTCGTCTTTGCCCCAGATCCTTGTGCTGCATTTTTAGAATCCATGTGTAAATAAATGAGAAAAGTGCATCGTTTACTCCCGAGTTCTTCAAAAAATGCACGGTTTATCCTTGAACATTAAAAAATAACCAAATACTCCTAAATTCTTCAGAAACTGCACAGTTTACCCATGAATATTAAAACATGCACCAAATACCCCTTGAACTCTTTAGAAATTGCACGATTTACCCTTAAACATTTATATAAAGACAATAGTCTTGGTGAATGATACTTTAGAGAGTTCACAAGGGCCAGATTAATCGTACTCGCAGTTCTCGTGCGTGGGAGCAATTCACTCCATATCTGGCATTTTAAGACCAGTGATGCAACGTTTTAAATTATTCAAGAATAGTTGGTGCACTTTTTAATGTTCAGGGGATAAGTTGTACAATTTCTGAAGAGTTCAGTGCATTTTTTAATGTTCAGAGGTAAATCATACAATTTCTAAAAGTTCAGGAGTAAACGATGTACTTTTCTCGTATTTAAATGAGTTTCCAATAAACGAGGATCATAGGCCCAACTTAGAGCCACTAGACCTACGTACCTCTAGTTCACCTTCTTCAAGATCGTGACACGAATTCAGCCTAGTATGTTATTTTTGCTCTTATGAAAAAATCACTTTATTTTAAAATAAATTTTTCAATTAATATTTTACAAAATTTTTAATGATACTGATTAATTTTAAAAAACTAAAACTAAAATTTTATTGTGAATTAATTTTTTCAAAGTGTTATAACTAAACGTTTAAATTGTTATCAATCAATTGAGGGAATATGGGTCACCCAAATCATTTAGTTCCTGTCACCACCATTAAAGTCCCATACGGCCATACCCTTGAAAAATGAGATTTAAGGACTAGTGACCAATTCAATAGGGTGTCTCAGCGGTCTCCCATCCACGAAACTCATTCACCCTTCCTCGTCGTCAACACATTTCCATGCGCACAGACACACAGCCGTGCACTCGCTTGGGACCCACTTCTTCGCCCCCTTTCTCCCCCTCTCCCGTGCTTTAACTGTTCAGCAATCATCTCTCTCTCTGTCTGTCTAGCGATTTGGAGTTTTCGACATTATTATTCCAAAAGTGGAAGTGGTGGGTGCTTTACTTCTTCCTCTGCTCTTTTACACTCGGCATCTTTTAGCTTTCTATTTAGCTCTTTTGTTCCTTCTCCAAAAGTGTGTACTCCAAAAAAGACTCAATTTTTACCAACCCTTTCAGCCTTTCTGAGCTCTGGACCTTTTCAAAAGGCTGAAATGATTTTACCCCATTTACCCTCGTGGTGGGTTCTTGCTCTTACCTTGCTTCTCTCTCATGGTTCCACTGCTTCAACCTCTTTTTTGTTTAATCTTTATTACTCCGTATTATGTACTGCAATTGTTTGAATCTTAAAATCTTTTGAACTTCTTGAAATCTCCGGTTCACTACTACTCTGATGTGCTGGGTTGAACCTGTATGTAATTGTTGAAGGTTTAGGATTTGTTTGGCTTGGGTTGAACCCAAAACTTCCAGTTTGTTGATTCTCAATGTTGAATTAAATAATAACTTTTCAAACTAAGATGGCGGCCCTTTGACTCTGACGTTTGGTAGAAAATTAATTGTTGATGGGCTCTTTCAAGATTGGAGGCTTTCGGGATGTTTGCATGAATGTGATTCTTTTTTTCAAGATTGTGACTTTTCTTTGTTGCAAAATTGGCTTGTTTGGAATTCTTCTCTTTCCAAACATGGGGTTTTGCAGATTTATGCAGCTACACATTTGTTCAGTTGTTTGATTGATAAGGCTCTCAATTTTGTTATTAATTTGTTTATTTTTTTGGTATAATTTGATGACAAAGTAGCAGCGCTTAGAATTCACAAGGTCTGTTGAGGGAAGATGGAGAAAAACAAGGGCGGGGACCGGAGGGATCATCTCACAGAAGACGTCCCTAGTCTGGGTTACTCATTACCTCTGGATCATAACAGTTCTCCAGTGTCAAATGACCTTCATAGGGCAGATCCCATATATACAATTCCTCAAAGGATCTCCCATAGTTCAGAGTCACAGGTGTCTGGCCTGCAGAATGTTGAATCTTCTTCTTGCTCGCCCTCAGCTTCCCCTTACCCTTCCCCACACGAGGGAAGGAGGCGATCACGAGTGCTGACTTTCAACACGGTTGACAGCTCACACCGGAAAGCATTGGATTTGGAGAGGCAAGTTTTCCCCGAATGTGTCGGGGTATCAAAGGAAGAAAAGAAGAAGAAGATGAAAAATAAGAGGAGATCGAGAGGTTGTTATAGGTGTGGGAAAGGAAAGTGGGGAGCTAAAGAGTCGTGTTTGGTTTGTGATGCGAGGTATTGCTGCAATTGTGTGCTTAGAGCTATGGGGTCCATGCCAGAGGGACGAAAATGTGTGACTTGCATTGGTGAAGCTATTGATGAGTCGAACCGGTCCAAACTGGGAAAGCATTCGAGGGTGCTGTCGAGTTTGCTTAGTCCTTTGGAAGTTAAGCAAATAATGAAAGGGGAGAAAGAGTGCTTGGCTAATCAACTTAGGCCGGAGCAGGTGATTGTGAACGGATTTCCTTTGAAACCAGAAGAGATGGAAGAACTATTTGGTTGTCCTTTACCTCCTAAGAAGTTGAAGCCTGGCAGGTATTGGTATGACAAAGAATCTGGCCTTTGGGGAAAGGTAGCACCATACAATCTCACAATTGTTTTTTTGTTCTTTTCTTAATAACCTTTGAGGAGGAAATAGTGATTTAGTTTTGTCTTATCTGTTGATCAGGAGGGAAAGAAACCCAACAGACTAGTGAGTTCAAACCTGAATTTTACAGGAAAGCTTAGTCCTCATGCAAGCAATGGAAACACACAGGTGTTCATTAATGGCAGAGAAATTACAAAAGTTGAACTCAAAGTATTGAAGGTGATTTTAGTTCTATCCCATAATTTGAAGTTCACTAGGTTCTGGTGGCGCACTCTGATGAGTTTAGGCACCCAACCCACTTGAAGTTATTGGGTTGGACCAAAAATTTTGGAGCCTACTTCGTTGTTACTAGGTTCTGGTCTTCTGGAGTGGTCTGATATGAATGTTTCCGGGCTTAGTTTATTTGTTTTCTTGCTTAATTAATTAAAACAAGAATAAATAATACACACAAAAAAAGTAACTAATCTTGGACCTTTGTTCATTGCCTCAGCTTGCAAATGTTCAATGTCCTCGCGACACTCACTTTTGGGTATATGATGATGGCCGCTATGAGGAGGAAGGACAAAATAATATCCGAGGAAATATATGGCAAAAAGTATGTAACTAGACTACTAGTTATGGAGTTCAACTTTTAGTTAATATGCAAAAAGAATCTAAAGCACGATTGTTTCCATCATGTAGACTTCGGCACGCCTCTTCTGCTCCTTGTTTTCCTTGCCTGTACCCCATGCTCAACCACGTGTCCAAAGGGATGAACCAAGCACTTACATCTCTGCCCCCAATTTTGTGGAACGAAGAAGAGTTCAGAAGCTGCTTCTTCTTGGGCAGCAAGGATCTGGAACTAGCACTATTTTCAAACAGGTCTTTTTAATCAAAATTTGCAACTAATATGCTTGCTAGAACAATGTTTCAGCTTTTAAGATCCTAAAGATCTGTTTGGATGAAGATTTGTGGAGGGCTTAATCTTTATTTTTGATAAATATTTGAGATTTTATAAAAACTGAAAGCATCTTTTATCCATTTTTAGAAACGTTCTACTTGGGGTTTATCAAGATATGGACTTTATCATTTTCAGCAACGTTCAGTTCCCTCCATCCAAATAAACCCCAAGATGTCTTTTAACTTTACATTCACCATCTTAGTCTTTCTCCATTTCTCTATATTCCCACTTGATATAACCGATTTTAGAGTATTCCCAATTGTTTACTATTGTATCTACTAACTTATCAGGCCAAAGTTTTGTATGGGAACAATTTCACTGTAGATGAACTACAAGACATTAAGCTCATGATTCAAAGAAACATCTACAAGTATCTAAGCATTCTACTCGATGGGCGGGAGCGATTTGAGGAGGAGGCCTTGTCAAATCTAATGGAAGAAGGTGCTTTCTTTCAACTACTCTTAGTATCAATTTGTACTCAAACTGTTATGTGAAGTTCACATATTTATATTCGTGAGCTCTGATAATTAATTGATGATGGCATTTGATTTAGGCGGTGAAGTGGACCCCAGTGGAGGTAATCAGTGTGTGTATTCGCTAAACCCAAGGTTGAAACACTTCTCTGATTGGCTGTTAGATATCATAGCCACCGGAGATTTAGATGCATTTTTCCCGGCAGCGACTCGCGAATATGCTCCTCTAGTTGAAGAGGTGTGGAAGGATCCTGCTGTACAGGAAACATACAAGAGAAAAGACGAACTTCACTTCCTTCCGGACGTAGCAGGTTACTTCTTAAATAAGGTTTGTTCTCAGCTTCTTACTTCCCTTAGCAAGGAAGGTTTTGTTTAATACTCCCCTCTATTCACTTCTAACTAACCATTGTGATACATCAGAAGTCCCATGTAGATGGACATACATCATGTCTATATTCGTTTATGTTTTTAATGTATCGAGAAAGTGATAATGGTCAGTTAAAAACATATGGCATTAACTGTTCTCCTCTCTTGTATGAACTTAAAGGCGGTTGAGGTATCAAGCATAGAGTATGAGCCATCAGAGCAAGACATACTCCTTGCAGAAGGGGTCACCCAAGGGAACGGCCTATCTTTAATGGAGTTCTCATTGAATGATCACAGCCCAATGTCTGACCTCTCCTACGCAGCAGACAACAATCTTGAAGGGCCTCCCACAAGGTACCAACTCATAAGGGTAAACGGGAATGGAATGAACGAAGGGTGCAAGTGGTTAGAGATGTTTGAAGAAGTAGACGCGGTAGTCTTCTGCGTCGCGCTGAGTGACTACGACCAAGTGTGGTGGGCCCCGCCGGACAAAGCCGGCGGGGTCCCACTCCACAACAAGATGATCCAAAGCAAAGAACTGTTTGAAATGATGATAAAGCACCCTGCTTTCAAAGACACTCCCTTCGTCTTGGTCCTCAACAAGTACGATCTCTTCGAGGAGAAGGTCAAGAAGGTGGGGTTGAGCAACTGCATTTGGTTCTCGGATTTCAGCACCGCGTACACTCATCATAACAACCAAACACTCGCAACCCAAGCCTACTACTACATTGCGATGAAGTTCAAAGACGTGTACTCTTCCCTCACGGGAGGGAGGAAGTTGTTTGTGTGGCAATCTCAAGCAAGAGAGAGAGTGACGGTCGACGAGGTGTTCAAGTACATAAGGGAGGTTTTGAAGTGGGATGAGGAGAAGGGAGGGAATGCTTATGGGGGTGGTGGAGTTGAGGATTCATTCTACAGCACGACGGAGGTTAGCTCTATTCCATTTATTATCGCGCAATAGTGAAGATGAAAATAGAAATGATTCAAAGTTCTTTGTTTTAAACCCAACATTGTGCATGTGTTTCTTTAGTAAAGAATAATTGTATAGGGCTATAGATGTCTTGCCAAGGATCTATAGTGTGACCTTAGCAAGGCATTGTAGCTCTTGTGATGTAATGTTGTGTCTAATGAAGATTGTGGTTGTGGTTGAAGGGTTTAGTTAAATCGGGTTAATGGTCGCGATCTATCTCAACTAAAAGCTTACTCCAAGCGACGCACTCTAACTGAAAGTCTAGGTGTTTCGTCGAACCAAACACACCCTTATATTTACCAAACACCTAAGTCCTTGGGATTAAACAAATGTTGATATAGATCAGAACCAGCTTTTGATTTGATTTAACTCAACCATTCATTCCATAAAAGCCACTTTGGTTCTCATTAAACTAATAGTTGCATCACATGGTAATATTTTATGTATTAGGAGTATTATATTCCAACAGCTGAGGTGTCATAGTTTAGACAGCTATCCTTATTTTATAGGGGCTGGACCAACCTTATTTTAAAACTTTAAAACTAAACTATACACATTTTTTAAAAAAACAATATAGAAAACAAAAGTTGGTTGACTTCTTAATGCTCAAGAACTGGAACAGATTCATCAAGCAAACTTAGGACATTATGTTCTGGTGCACTTATAGATGGCAGAATCCGTGGTTTTGGTTTCGTTGCACTCGTCTCTGGCTCCACGACGGCTTCCTCTTTCTCCTTCCATTTTCTTCCATCCTGTGATCCAGTAACAATATTTTTTCCCTGTTTCCCGATTCGCGAAACACAAAAAATAATCTGTCAATTATCATCCCAGAATCTTGCATTTGTGTTAGATTCTGAAAAGAAATCACTTGCTGCTTCTGCTTAGTTTTCAGAAGCAATAACTGTTTGATTCTTTCACAATAATAGTAAACTAATTCTGAAACTTCTGGTTCTGAGAATCAAAATTGCCAAAAAAAAACTTACATTGAAGACTGATGATGATGGTTCTGGGAAAGGGCACTGAACTGGGTGGTCGTCGTCGAGAGGCTCATTGGGATGCTGAACCGGCTTGAACTCATCCATGTCGCAGGTTGTGGCAGCCACATCAGCTCCTGCTGCCGCCGCCTCCGGCAGGCTTGGGGGCAATGCGGTCTTTTCTTCCTGCAGCATTCAAATATGCATTGTTTTCACAACATGGAGCAAAACTTGGACTTTAGAGAAATAATGGGATCCAAGAAAAAAGTACTAATGCTTACAGTGGCACTTGTGCTTCTTCTATGGGCAGCTATTTTATTAATGGCAGAAAATCTGGAAAATACACCCACCATCTTTTGTCCCACCCAGCCCAGATTATTATTATTATTCACTATATATGTATGTGTGTATATATGTATACACACATTATATATATATATATATATATATATATCCCACAGAGGGAGAGGAAACGATAAGGGCATATAAAAAGGGTGGAAGGTGCATGGTATGTTTCCAGGACAACTCCCCAATCATCATAGTGGCATTAAATGGTTTGCTCCTATGTTTTTTAATATTCCATTTCTGAGTTAAAATATACTCCGTAATTCTCTAGGGTACTTGCTATGAAACAACTGTTTTAAGTGGTAATCATTTATTCTATTTGACTTACTAACTTTTTCTTTTCTTCACCATCATTTTGTACATAGAGCACCATTTTAGAGTAGATATATGGTGCTTCTGCTTTCAGTTTTTGTGAAAATCATTTTTTATTCACAAGTTAATCACTTCCAAACACCCTCTATAACAAGGCAACGAGTATTCCGAGAAGAGTATGCCAATGTTTATAATTATTCTACAATATTCATCGTTCAGTTTGATTTTTTTTGTTTAATTGAACGAATTTTAGGGTTTATTTGTTTGGTAAGACAGCGTGTAACTTTAACATTTCAGAAAAAAACTCAAAAACATCAGTGTTTAAAAAGTTATTCTAAAAGCTAACGTTAATTGAAAGTTCTACTCCCAAGCAAGATCTTAATTATCAGTTACAATACATTACATTTGTATTATATATTGACACGATAAAATAAATTTTTGAAAGATTTTTATAAAATAGATCTAAGGAAATTATTTGTCTAGTAATACAAGATGATTTTCATTTTATTGATAATCAAAGTCTCTCGAATTTGATTTGAAAAAGTCAAATTGAACGAATATTCTGAAACGAAAGTAAAAATTTATAATTGAGACTATTTTAAGCTGACGATTTTTCTTTTATACTCACTCATAAATAAACTTTACATTCACAATTCAAATTTTCAAACTTTCTTGTGGATTCTCATTTGTTAGAGTAAGAAGTGCTATTGTAATTCTAAGGTTTACATGTAAAATATGAATTTTTTTACATATTTTGCATGAACTCATACTTGGATATCATTCTTTTTAAAAGACCCAACACATATAACCATTTTATGGTTTAAGATTCATAAATAACTATAGAGTGAAAGGCTACAAAAGAATTTGCTTAGAGAGAGTATGTACAGATCATTTCACCCGGCAAATATTCAATTTGAATCAATAGAATGTTTATTTTCGATCGTAATGTTCATTCTGAAGTATGCTCAACATATTGTTTATTCTGAAACAATGTAGTATTCATTATAAAATACGTTCATTCTGAATCAACATAATATTTATTCTAAAACAATGTAGTGTTAATTCTGTAACATTTTTTTAAATTACTACTTCCATTCCTAAAAGATTGCCACAATTTTACTTTTTTGGTCAAACTGTGGAATCCTTTGATCGTGAATTATGAAAAAATATACTCCGTATTTATGACAATCTTTTAGAAACGAAGGGGGTACAAGTTTGTCATGATGTACCAAGAAGAATGTATATCTGGTTGTACTGTATAATTTGCGGTACTCCGTAGTCCTTTATTTTATTTTAAAGAATTTATTTTGCCATATTAAATTACTCCATATTTTTTAAGTTATTCCGTATTTAAATTTTATCTCACCAGTTTTGCGCACGCCTTCATAGTTCATACACGCTTAAAAAAAAGTACTCGTAACTACGGAGTAACAACGACCTTGTAGCATTTTTTTTTTCAGTCAAAAAACCACCTACTCCTTACACTATTTCAAATTAATTTTTTAACTTTGACTCTACAAAAATCAATTTTTGATTAGTGAAATGTGAATCGTTAGGATTTGTTCAGAAAAAACAAAGAAATAATTTTAGAAAATATATTTTTTCTGAAAAGATAAAAAATGAGGATTTTTTTTAGAGGGAGAGAATATTATGTAAATGAACAAAACATGAATAGAATCATACTCCATTTTAAGAATTGGGTAATTTTTTTAGCGGATTTAGTGTTCATGTAAGAATTAATGAACCTTATTTATAACTACACAAGCATATTCAGTAAGTTAATTACAACAAGCAATTACTCCTTTCTTGATTATGTTTAATTTATAGTCAAAGAGTGTTACTATTTGATCAAAAAAAGTCAAAACAGAAAAAGTTTTTAAGTCCGAAGGGAGTATGTTATGTTCGACAAAATCAAATTATAAATTAAATTTTGTAAATAAAGAGAGTAATTAATAATGTGAATTTTTAGTTTTTGGAAAATAAAAAGAGAACATATTTATTATTTCTGCCTTCCAAACTTAAAAAGAAATAGAAAAACAAGAAATTTATTTGATCTATTTACGGTAATCAGGAATAAATGTTCTCTACTTTTTCTAAGTTTTTTTTTCTCCAAAAAACTTAAGAAACTTTTTTTCCCTTCTAAATTTAAAACTAATCATCAATGATAGTGGTTGACGTGATAAAAGAGCAAAAAACCTACCCCAAAAGAAAAATAGTAGCTGCGGATTGGAACAGATGGTACAAAGCATGTTTTATTAATACTCCATACATTAAAAGAACATGAAAGCAGAAGAAAGAATAACTAATGTGATCCTATTATGGTTTGGTGAGGATAATTGAGTTTCCACTACCAGAGAATCATCCATTCAATTATGCCCCCTATAGAAAAAAGATAATGTCCCAAAGCTTAATTATCGCGAATGCAGCTACTTAATCTTCGTCATCAGAGTTGTCGAATTTTATCTTTGTAGATTTTGCAGCGCTGGGATCAATCTCTCTGAAATGTGCACCATAAAGCTTCGACTCCTGAATCGTGTGCTCATCAACGGTTAGTTAAAAAAAATACGGAGTACTTTGCTTGAAGGGCAATAAGGGAATTCGATTCTCGTGTTTCTCGATGAGGGAGATAAAGCCTTACCTTTTTCTTCACATGGGTGCCAAATTTCAGGAGCTCAGATGGTACAATCTGATTTGCTTCTTTAAGAACATTTATCAGTTCCCCTGCTAGCCCCTGCAGAAAATTTCATAATTTATTTGTCAAAGTTGTGTGCCCGGCGGCCATATCAATCATATTCCATTACATTGGTAAATAGATACTGCCTTCGTCCTATGTCTTTCTTTCCTTTCCTTGAATGGAAAGATTATTCGCCATTTTACAACTAAAAGACTATTTTACCCTTACTTTTTGTAATATTCACCTTATTAGAGCATCTCCAACCATGTTTGCACTATAGACTTTCTACTTTTACATTATAGTAAGTGAATAGTGATATAGCAAGCACCTTTTTGTTCCATTATCCAACCATAACTTGCTATAATTTGAGGAGCTTGTTATATTTAGCAAGTCAAAGTCATTACAAGTTTGCTAAAATATAGCACACCCTTTAAATAAGAACAAAACAGTTTGGCTTGCTGTATCATAGCTTTTAGCAAGCCAAATCGTATCGTTGTAGATGCTATTACATCTCTTCAATTTACTATACCACCAAGGGAAAGAATGGAAAGTCCACATTTTTTGTCGAATATTTAGTTACCTTGTTTTCTTTTGTGAAGAATGTATGAGCTACACCCTTCTTGCCAGCTCTTCCAGTCCTCCCTATTCTGTGCACATAGTCCTCTGTTGTGAGAGGAAAACTATAATTTATCACAACTTCAACATCAGGAATGTCGAGACCTCTGGCTGCCACATCTGTGGCTATCTGCAAATTGTTAAATTTCACACATATTTTTGATAAATGAATTTTTTTAAGCAATTGGAAGTAGTTCAAGCCGTGCATGTTTTTAAAAATGAAAATTGGAGAGGAAAAAAAAAGAATGTATACCAACAAAGGACAGCTTCCATCCTTAAACTGTGCCAATGCCTCCGTGCGTGCATGTTGTGCCTTGTCACCACTTATAGAAACCGCTTTCCAACCCCTAGGGACCAAAAGCAAAATTAGATACTGGAAAATCACACATGCACATATAAGACCCAACGGCTGAAAGTTCTACGTGGAAATTATTAACTCATTCTGACCTGAAGAAATGTTTTGTCAAGGTGCAATTTTTTTGTTAGGGTAAGGTACGACTACAGAAAATTATTGAGCCTACTCATAATTTAAAATTTACTCCATCTGTCCCGCAATAATTTTCACTTCTTACTTCTTTTTTGCCCGTCCCAAAAAAAATCACTTTCCTTTTAAGGAAAAGAATGTGTGGTAAGCTCAGAAGATTTCTCTCTTCTTAACAAATTTCTACCACTCTTTTTTCACTTTTCAACACTTTTCTCAAACTCCGGGAAAGTCAAATTATGGGGCAGAGGTAGTTCTTTACCCTCTTCTCAAGACTTAGTTTGTACAAAAAATGTCACATTTCAAACAAAGAAGCTAATATTAGAGAGATAGATTCATGAACCTGAGTTCATAATCAGGGTAATGCTAACTGAAACTGACAGTAAAAAACCAAACAACCCCAGTAAATCCCAATTAGGGGATCACTATTGCAGACCTTAACTCTAGCCGAAGCCCGAATGAGTAGAGAGGCAAGGTGACAGTAAAAGATTTGTATTTTTTTCAAAGCAATACCAAGTTCTATAGAATGTGAGGTTCGGATATGTAATTAACACTACCTCCTCTGTAACATAGATTCAACTCGAGATGCTTCTTTCTTGTATAATACAAAAACCAATACTCTATTCCTGCAGAGTTGAACTTCTTTTATCAGCAGTAGTTCAGAAGTCCAAAATAACAGCACAGTATAATCCTAACTCCGTCGGGGGTCAAGATTTACAGTCTTACCCCTGTAAAAACAGAGAGGCTGTTTCGTTAGACCATAGATGGCACTGTTGCATTTGCTGCCCAAAACTTCAAGTTTAATGTTGCATTTTGAATTACTCCATTATGTGCCCGAAACTAAAACATTGTCAATAATGAATCGTTTAGCTTCATTGGCAATCAATGGACACAATGGCATTCAAAAAAATTGTATGCATTGGTGTTGAGCACTAATTATAATAAGGCCAAACCATACTTTCTAGTCTTGTGGTACTTTTCTAACAAATTTTGTAAGCGTTCATCACGTGCTCTGTCCTCCAAGACCTGCAAAGAGGCAAATGAAAGTCCAATTACTTTGGGAAAAAAAGTTAAAGGTCTAATGATCTTCTTTGTCATAGAATATACCTCCACTATTTGCATCACATCGTGGTTGGCTGATAAATCTTCAGAACCTATAACAACCTGAAGCAATATTCAATTTTCAGATTATTTTCAAGAGTGAGAGGATAATTAAGTATTACAAACAACAATAATAGTAGCATATCACTCTTGTTTATTTTAAATCTCGTGATAACTAATTTATATATAATGTTGTGCAAAATTCAAACCTTAACAGGGTGGGGGTCCATGAATTCCTGAGCTAACTGATGAACAGGTGGGGGCCATGTGGCACTAAACATAACCATTTGGCGAACTGCATTCAAAAACATGATCACAATCGCAAATTAACTAAAGTATAAGTTCATAAATCCAAGATGAAAGGATGGAGAACAACAAGAGAATATAGGCTAAAACTATAACCACAAGTACATAGAGGAAGTAAATTGAAAGATTCACTTATGAGGACTATTTTTTACTACGTACTACGTATTTGATAGAAAAGGTTGAAAATTAAGAAACAGGATGTTGCAGAATTTATTTATGTTTCATTCAATTTGACCAATTTGGCTCTATTTAAAAAAATATTTGTTGTAAACTAAAGCAGCCCACCAACAATAATCGATGAGCAAATAATTAAAGCCTTGAATATCCCATATTCACATACCAGAGCATGTCTGGCTCAATATAGAGCGAACCTCTGGTTCAAATCCCATATCAAGCATCCGATCAGCTTCATCTAAAACCTACACAATAAATCAATATTACTAACAGTTTAACAGATCCTCACATGGTTTAGCAACAGCATTTTTATCACACATCAAAGCAAGCTGCAGACAGTCTTAATAAATACTCCATTTATCCAAGAATAAGGTTTCACATTTGACTCAGGCGTGATATTAAGAAAGGGGAAATTAGGGAGTTGAGATTTATGCATAGTCGAAAGAGATAATATGAACCCCAATGTGAAACCTCACATGGTTTAGCAACAGCATTTTTATCACACCTCAAAGCAAGCTGCAGAAGTCCTAATAAATTACTCCATCTATCCAAGAATAAGTTTTCACATTTGACTCGGACATGTTATTAAGAAAGGTGAAATTAGGTAGTTGAGATTAATGCAAGGTAGAAAGAAATAATATATTTCCATCATCACTGATGGAGCCAAAAATTCACTATTTTTGGCTTTGGGGTGTGATGGAATAAAGTAAAATGGATCTCTAAACTATTTGCGCTTCTGTAATGAATGAAGTAGCAATTAGTCAATCAATGCAACTTTCAACGCTGAGTCGGGGTTCTTTTTGGAAACAGCCTCTCTACTTTCGAGTAGGGTTAAGGTCTGCGCACACACACCCTCTCCAGAGCCTACTCTTGTGGGATTCAACTGGGTAGTTGTTGTAGGAAGAAATAATATGAACCACGAGTCTTTTCTTTAAAAGTAACGTGGAACCTTATGTTGGGACAAACCAAATAGGAAATGTGGGAACTTTTTCTAGAAAAATGGAGTAGAAAGAACAATATTAACAAATGGAAGAAAAAAATGAAGAAAAAAATGCACAGAAAAAAAATATATTTCATCTAACAAAATCTAAAGATTAGTTCTTTTGAAGCTTTTAGTAGGTCAACACTTCCTAGACGATTCTGACTTATTCCATTACCTTTTGGTTTTGTACTCAGAAAAATGTATCTCACCCTTTTATCAAAGGAATAAATACAATCCATACTGAGCATTGAACAAAATATGGTTCTACAGTTCATTGATTATCTTCAGCTTTTCTTTCAGGAAGCTCAATAGTCAATAGCTCTCGTTTAGTACAGAAAATGTCAAAAAGGAAAACCTATCGTGAAGATATCAAGTATTCATTGAAATAAAATACTCCCTCTTTTCACTCTTCTCATAAAACACTTCCACTTTCCTTTAAAAAGTCAATTTTACCTCTATTAATTCTTACCCCACCTAACACATCATATCTATTCACTATTAATCTATCCATCACATCCTACTCTTACCTATCACATCAAAAGTGAAAATTGGAAAGTCAACTACAAAATACACTCCACTTAAATTTGCCAAAGGAAAAAATGGGAAATCTTTTTCAAAACGGATGGAGTAGCAAGTGCAAGTAGAAAATGTTACAATGTTGAGAGTTGAGACTTACAACAAAAGACACTTCCTTTAACTGGCAGATTCCCATTTCAATCAAGTCCTTCAGGCGACCAGGGGTTCCGATTACAATGTCCTGAAGGATAAATTAAGTATGCACTGTGAAATGAAAGGAAAAAATGTTCATTTCCTGAGTACAAAACATTTAGATTTGCACATGCCATCTTACAACAGAATGCTAGAAAGGTCACACAATAACAAAAAGGACATTAATTGAAGATAGAGAGAAAGAAGATTTATCAGCTAAAGCAGGATCTCTTAGTCATTGTAGGTAAAAAAAATACAAATAGGTTTACCACTCCAGATTTCAGAGCAGATATCTGGGGTCCTTTGGAAGTTCCTCCATATACACAAACTGATCCTATTCCAGTGGGCTTTCCAGCATCACGTATAACATCCGAAATCTGCCAGTAAAAGCGTAAAGCACATTGAAATTATATTTCTGGTAGGTCAATCAGTCATACGCCATAACACATGAGGAAAAATCACAGCTAATATATATGAATAAATGATGAAATTGGAACATGTACTTGCTGAGCCAGCTCCCTGGTGGGTGAAAGCACAAGGCAAATAGGATTCTTTGGCTTTTTCCCCTTTCGTTTGCTCAGAATATGCATTATAGCCGGGATGCCAAATGCCAATGTCTTACCTGATCATACGAACAGATATGAAACCTACAATCCTACCTCTAAAAAACTTTAACAAACTCATATTTTCCATCATCCATACCTGACCCGGTTGCTGCAATCCCAATAAAATCACGGCCGTTTAGCAGAAATGGCCAGGAATGAGACTGGATTGGAGATGGCTTAGCAAAACTCTTGCAGCATTCCAGCACCTTGTCCGGAAGCCCGGAGTCCGAGAATTTCTCCAAAGCCTTAAACTTTAAATCATTCACATCTTTCCCAGACATGAAAACTCCCTCACTGACGCATTGAAGCTCAACTGACCCATTGTTCGGAACCTCAGCTCCTCCATTTTCTTTCTTAACTTGTGTATTTTTCGATGCATCTGAGGACCCGTTAATATTTTCGTCCCCTTCATCGGCAGTGTGCTTTTGTTTCTTCTTCTTCTTTTTTTTCTTATCGTTATTTGATTCAACTGCTATTCCCGGCTCGGGAACTGGCGACGGCTCGACCTCGTGATGTTCGTGCTTTCGTTTCTGCTTCTTCTTCGACTTCGCATCCTGATTCTCGACAGTGTCGGAAGCTAAGGGCTCTGAGAGAAAAGCGACGTCGTGGTGCTTCCGACCCATTGCTGCTGAATCAGAGGAGAGCCAACAACCAAAAACCCCAGTCCGTTGAATGAAGGGAGATGTGTGGGACTTAGGGTTTCGGAGTTCTCACACAATTTAGGTGAAATTACAACATGCCCCTGCTCCCAAGTCCCAACCAAAACAAAAAAAAGACTATTATGCACTCCTATGTCCCTAAATCATTACAGTTTATGTAAAACGAACTAAAATCCTAATTTTTTTCAATTTATTTTATATATTAATTTATAAATAATAAAAATTTACGTATTTAAAAAGTACATCAAAATTTTTATAAAATAAGAGGTCACAAGGATATTTTATTTCATATGAAAACACACAAATAAATAAAATTTCTATGATTTTTATATAGTAAAGTGTGTAAAATCATTTATGGACAAAGAGGGTAGTATTTATGTGCTTCTTCATTCTTCTTCACGAGTGTTCCTTGTTGAGAGAGAAGTGTAGAGGTGCTGTCCATTTGGTGTGAAGTCGTCGAAGGTAGTCACGAACTTCACCGGGGGTTTCACCACACTACTGGATTGATCCCCTGGAGTGTTTTTCTATGGTGAGGATCATACCTAGGAGCTGGATCGATCCCCCGAAATTTTGACTCGGAAATATTTCCGCAAATGCTACTTTTGAGCTCTAAAATCCTATTTTTTATTCCAATCAACTATGATCAATGTAAATATGATTTATGGAAATAAAAATGATGTTTTAACTAATAAAAACCTTATATAATTTATGACGGTAAGCTAAGATGTTAACACTCGATGATAGGCCGCTAATTGTTATTAAAATAGTAAAGGCATCAGTTGTTTTTAAAGCGATATAATTGAATTGGATCAATTGCATCGCTTGTATTTGCATCAGTATAGAACTGATGCTAAAAGTACAAAACAACCAATGCCTTTGCCCTTATATGTACTAGTGAATGGCCAAATCATTTCCCATAGATGAATGATCTTACCTACACGATAAAATAAGTAACCTGATCAAGGCCATGTTCTTTTGAGTTGGAAAAAATAACTTCCAACTTCTTCGAACTCATTTCAGTTTCTTCCAACCAATTATAGTTCCTTTCAACTCCTTCTAGTTTCTTCCAACAACTTAAAAAAGGTATTTATATCTGATTAGTTTAGAATGTCATTATTTATCTAAATCTGTTACATATCATTTCAAATGTTTATAACATATTTATCTGGGTGATAATTTAATTGAGTGACTTTTTAACACTTTAATTCTTCCAACATTTTCTAAGATCTTCTAGTTTTTTCCAATTCAACTCCTTCTAATTTCTTCCAACATGCAACTCTGAAATTTTAACAAAAAAGAACAGGACCCAAGTATAATATGACCACTCACCTTCGTCATGGTGATTCGATCGATTTTTTTTCTCTTAGTTGGCTCTAATCATCTTGAACCTTCTTCAAATAGTATGACAAGTCTCCTTCCTTGTATTGAATACATTTTGAATATATGTTATACTCATTTGGCATTTTTATGTGATCCGCTTTCATCAATATTGCAGGAAATGAAATAAAGTAATGGTAGAGATACATCATTTTGTGTATCTCATTTGTATACAAGCAATCATCATCATAATTTTTTTTCACTCATTAATTTTGTTTGTTCACACTAGAATTGTGTAGTTGAGATACACTAAGTTTTAGTTGTAGTCCACTTTTGGTATACTCTTAACATTGTATTGTATTAGACATTACTCTTATTACACTTTTTTTTACTCTTATTACACTTTATTGACCAATTTAGGGCATGTTTTCTTCACATGATCTGATTGATTCTGATTTGATTAAAAGAAATTCCGATCTGATTATAGTGTTATTTAAAGCTATTTGTTGATCTAGTCGAGTCCGGTTCTAATAAGAATAAAAGTTTGTTATATTCACTTAATCTGATTAGAATAAATTTTGAATCTAAATTAATTCCAACAAAGATAAGGATAAAAATAAGTTGAAATACTCTAAGGGGGGTGTATTCAATTTAGATTTTAAAAGATTTTGAAAGATTTTTTAAAATACATGGATTATGTAAAATCCATGGATTGTTTTAATTCTACACAGAATTAGATAGATTGTAATGTATTTTATCGATGTGATTTTAAAGGATTTTGTGTGATTTGTTAAAAAAGACTTTTCTCAAATTGAAAAGAAGATAGATCTATCTCTTCCGTCACTACACCAAGAGCTCGACACTTTGAGAAAAAGTTTCAATGGAGCTTCATCCTCTACCCACCTCACCCTCACACTATCTCTTATTTACAGAAAAAATAATAGAATTTATCAACAAAACCTAATAAAATGATTAAAAAAAATTCATCAACACAGTTGAACAATTTTGTTAATAAAAGAGGAAACAATAGAAGCCATACAACCTACTCGGGCGGAGTGAAGATTGTGACGGTGGAATGGTCTGAAGAAATTGAGGAGGCGACTGTGGCGACCCGTCGCCTCGTGCAGCGGATAGAGATATGGAGAAGAGAAAAAGTGCAGGTGCAGCGAAGAAGAAGAACGTCCGATGAAGTTGAAGAAGAAGAAACGGCCGAAGAAGAAGTAGGCGGAAGGATTTTATAAAATCTTTGGTTTTTGGGTGAGATTTGAGAATGGATTTATATTTATACCCAATGCTTAAAAATCCATCAAAATCTACATTTTTAAAAAATTTTAAAAATCTATCAACTTTTTGAATACTATCATATTTGGAAGGACTTTTTAAAATCTGAATTGAATACCTACAGATTTTCAAAATCCAAAAAAATCAATCAGAATCCTGATTGAATACACCCCCTAAGTTATTAGTAGTAATAAGAATATTAAGATAAAAAAACTCTAACTTTGGTTCAATGATTTTGAAAGAAAAAATTGATTTTCCCTCAGTCTCCTACCCAAATGAAAAGAATTTGGTTGGGTGAGGACACTCACGGATGACTGGGGAAAGTCCTGAAAATAGTGCTTAGCCTTAGCGCAACACATTGCGGCGCCGTGCTCTGGTGTGCCGTAGGCTTCAACAGCAAGACACGCAAGAGTTTGTCCTTCTCTACACCGACTCACTCCCATCCCCTATCACATTTTTCTCGAAATTGCTCGGAGATCGGCTGGGTAAAGCAATCGGAAGTCGGGAACTACCATGAACCGGGGAAACGATATCAACCCGTTCGAGGAAGAAGTGCCTGAAGTCAATCCATTCGCGGTAACCGCCTCTTTCGTTTTCCCGCTGTTTCTCGTGCTTACTTCTACACTTTAACAATTTACTGTTCATCGGATCTGGATCTGAACCGTTGGAGTACAGAAGCCTGGTGTTTTGCCTTCTAGAACTATTTTGTTTCTGTTTCTCTATAACCTAACCACTGCTGGTGTGGAATTGCAATCTTTCATTTACCAGTCTGAGACCTAACTGCTGAACTTTGAGATGAACATCGAAGAACAGAAATGATTGGTTTTGGTAATCTATGCAAAGGAGCGCGAATTTGAAGTGCCAAGTGTTCCAAATCCAATGCAATTTTATAAATTAGCCCTTACTGAGTTGAACTAAAGAGCAATTTTGAAACTCCCATATGCATTTTTCTATGGAATTGAAAAATTCCAATTTCAATATTTTAGGTGGTTCCACTTGTCGATTAGCCAATTTTTTTGTTTGCATGCTCTGTGCTTTCTTGTGCTCTGGTTGCTATTTACACTCTATTTTATTTGCAGAATGGCAGCACTGCTCCTGCATCTAAATCACGCATTCCTAAAATGTTTGCTAATACTCTTGGGTTCGGCCAAAAGCACGATGCTACTGTTGATATACCACTGGATTCAATGAACGTAATGAAGTTTTAACATTCACTTATCATGTAGTTTTTTTTATTTAATCATGTTGATGTGAAAACATCTAAAATTCTGAGTCTGCTGTCTTTTTTCATCTGTGCTCATGATCCCAAGAAAAAAGAGAAGGACCTGGCAAATTGGGAGGCTGAACTGAAAAGGAAAGAAAAGGTCTGATCCTAGGCTTTGTGTGCCTTAAGTGTTCATGTTTTGGTATTGAGTTTCTATTTACTTTCATTTTGTTGAAATCAGATCTGCTTTCTTTATGCTTATAAGTGTGAATTGTCAAAAAAAATGTTTGAGTGTGAATAATATGATTTACAAGAAGTGAAAAGTTCTGGAAAGAATATTGATTCAGCTTCTGGTATGTGGTATCCCACATTCTTATACTAATGGGATACTATATTACTACAAGTCTGCATTATATGAAAATGAAAAAGTAAAAAATAATTCACCACTACAGGGTTTATACTAATTTAAGATAGAGGTATGCATGACATACATATAATGTCAAACTTCTACTTTACAGGAGATCAAAAACAGAGAAGATGCTCTCTCTAGGGGTAAGCTGTGACATATTTGACTCTTTTGGTTACCTTTTCTTCTTTTATACTGCTTGACCTTTGGACTGATTTAACTTATTTCTTCATCATAGCTGGTGTTCCCGTCAATGATAAGAATTGGCCTCCCTTTTTCCCAATCATACACCATGATATTGCCAATGAAATACCAGCTCATTCTCAGAGGATGCAGTATTTGGCCTTCGCTAGTTGGCTGGGTATGCTCCTTGTCTTTCTAGTTTTGATTTTGTTTTTAAACTTAACAACACAACTTTCAGGTGTAACTGAGAAGCAACTCCAATGGTATAATTGAATGTTTGAAAATTTGTGCTCCTCTTGGGTATTGACTATTGAGCACTTGTTGTTAATGGGGTTTTTATATATCTCTTTTTGGACTGTCATTAATGGTGGGGGTGTTTCAAATATTTCTGTGTTCGAGCATTGAAGAAGACACCTAATTATTTATTGAGTCTGGCCAATTTTGGATATGAGGGTGCTGCGTCGGGGCTTTTGTCAGAACAGATAATAAATTGCAGAAACTTCAATAAAAATCCCCAAATCATGCCACAACCACTATAAAATGGGTGGTTTACCAAAACCCTAAAACCATGCCCCCACCAACTATAAAATGAACAACCGCTTCTTTTCAACTACTTTGAGATTCTTTTAACTCCTTTCAACTCTTATTATGATTTGAAAATTATATAGGTGCATTTAACCTATTCTTATTTTACAATTATTATTGTATCAACGCCAGGAAAATAATAAAGCACTTGAATCTAATGGTACAATTTATATTAACAAATAACATACAAGTAGTTTATGATAAATTTAAATTTATGTAGACACATTCCACCAAAGTGTATGTGTGTGTGTATATAAACTTTATATCAAACATAAACTTATATTTACATGAATTCTAATTCATCTCAACATCATATATTGTACCATTTTGCACTATTTATTTTTATCCCTCTAATTTTGTATAAATATGTTTTTATTTACAACCAAAAACTCAAAAAGTATTTTATATTTTCATAAAAAGTGTATACTACTCAAAACTTTAAGAATTGAGGTTATACTTGAATAAGGATTCTGTAGAAGTATAGAACTCTCCTCCCTTCAGTTTTATGTCCGTTCAAAATAAACTTTACACCTCTTCCAATTTGTTTAGTATAGAAATATGTGGCTCACAATATTTCATGGACTTTAATCGTATATTTTTAGTTTTCAACACTTCCTTGAATTTTGTGAAATCAGAATGTCAAATTTTCATTGCCACTTACACTTAGCACAACTTTTTTCATCTTATGGTTTGTTTAGAAAGATGGAGAATGGCTTCTGGAAAATGATATTTGGAAAAATAAGTTCTGGAAAACAAGTTTCGGGGAATAAGTTCATTTTTTGGTGTTTGGTTGGAAGTTTGGAAAATAAAAAAAACCTATTTTTTCTTATAACACTAAAAAACCTGTTGAGTTTCTATATAAGAACACGGAGAAGAGTGGAAAAAGAACATAAATCATTTTCCTTCAAATAAGGCCCATTTTTGTTGGCTTCAAAGACAATTTTATGTTGACTCCTATTTTCTAGAGCAGCCAAACATTAGAAAATGAGAAAATAAGAACTTGGGGAAGACTGGAAAATATCTTCCATTGAAAAGAACATAAATCATTTTCCTTCAAATAATGCCCATTTTTTGTTGAATTCAAATAACGCCCATTTTTCTTCCCAAACATACCCATATTCAAAATGGGATACAAATCTCATCTAGATGAGTAACCCAAGAGCAAGGCTCAAGATGATGATGTTTGATGAACAAACTAAACATGCAATGGAGAAATATAGGAATGAAGTATCTCATAATATTTGCCAGTCTAATTGTGTTATTGAACTAATGGTGCGTAGCTTTAACCAGACAATTTTGATGATTCCGTGAAATGCTTTTCTACTAACATTATTCTTTTAGCTACAAGTGAAAAAATCAATAGAATAATGCATTAAATTATAGCTTCCATTGTATGGTTGAAGTATTCATTTGGCTTGATTCACTTATTTTTTGGACTTTTAGAGACTGTTTTTATTTCCATTATCAGATTTGTGGGTGTGAAAGAAATCCTATAGATACAATTTCTTGTTAACGCAATTGGATGCCAAATTTGATGCACTTAAAACATATTAATGCAGGCATTATTCTCTGCCTTACATTCAATATCATTGCCGTGGTCGTGTGTTGGATAAAGGGAGGAGGTGTGTTCTCTTTTGCCTAGTTTATGGTGTCTGTTATCTCCAAGGGGAGTTTTCTGAGGTAAAGCATGCATGCTATTTTAGAATCTGGCGTTTAACTTCTGTCATGGTTGTCTTTTGTAGGTGTCAAGATCTTTTTTCTTGCTGTAATATACGCCTTACTTGGATGTCCCTTGTCCTATGTTTTGTGGTATCGGCCTCTCTATTATGCAATGAGGTATCATCTATCTCTATTACATCATAATCAACTCCAATAATCACTGTAACCCGGATGGGGCTTTCTGTCTCCTGTTATGATGACATATGATTTTATGTTCCTTTGCAGGACTGACAGTGCACTTAAATTTGGCTGGTTTTTTATGTTCTACATGGTATATTGTGTTGTCTAGGTGTTGGTGCATTTGCATTCATTCATTTATTTTGGTACATTCCAGTTATGTCATTGGTGTTGATAACTTTAGTTATATATTATTCACTTGCAGCTCCATGTCGGGTTTTGCATATTTGCCGCCATTGCTCCACCCATTGTCTTTCATGGAAAATCATTAACGTGAGTCTTGCTTTCGCTTTTGCTGCACGCAGTATATAGAGTAGTTTTGGAAATAGTTTTTTTTTTTAAAAAAAAAGATCTATGGTGTTCTATGAGAAATAATGTGCCTCCCTTCAAGGAAAGTGTTTTCAAGTATTGGCACAGTTTGTTGTCTCTTAAAGCATCTTCGATGCACAGGTGCATTTTGCAGGTCTGTGCTAGGTGACATGTGAGAGAGATTGAGATTGATTGTTTTAATTTAATACTCCCTCCGTCCCGCTATATTCGTCCACTTTTGACTTTTGGAACTGTTCATCTAAGCACTTTGACTCATCAAATTCTCTCAATGTGTAAGCCTAAATATAGTCATGTGTGATCTTGTTTGATTTGTCTTAACATATAGATTTTTAATATATAATTTCTATAATTTTTTAATATACAAACTACAAGATAAAATGGATTAAAGAAGTGTATTAGATGGTGTGTAAAAATGAAAGTGGATAAATACTCTGGGACGGACTGACAGAGGTAGTATATCAATGATGTGTGGAAACTGAAGAGATAGAGACAAGATTGTGTATGCGGGTCTAACTGGGTCTATTTGTAGACCTTAGACAGGACTCAAGAAGGAAGTTGTAGGGGCAGAAGTAGGTAAAAAGTGAGTTTTAAACATGTAAAAATTAATTGGGAAACACATGGTCATACATAAAAAAAATTGAGATAAAACTTGGGACCTAAGTGTAAGAAACAAAACTAAATGCACCTAAGAGCATTTAAAGATGCTTTTAACAGTCGACTGTGACTTGACATGGGTTATAGTGTAAGATAAAAAAGAGGTTGAGTTTCCAATTTCTCCCTCCCTACTCTTCTTCTTCCCAAGCCCCCCTTCCTCCCTCCCCTACAGATTTTTCTTAGGTATCTGATCAGATAGACGAAATAACAGAAGCGTAGCAAAGAAACAATCGTAAGTACGGAGTAACATACTCCTTTAGAAAATCGGAAGAGATAAGTGTATTACGGAGTATGTATTTGGTGCTTTATTTGTGACTGTGTTTTCTACTCCGAACAAACAGAAATAACAAAAATACTAAAAATAGAGCTAATAACAAGATTGGAGTCATGATCTAATCGGAAGGCTAGCGGCAGATCTATCAATTGATGTTTGCTCCGACGGCGGAAGGATGGAAAAATATGTTCCGGCAGAGCAGCAATTGACGTTGGTACATTGTGCGGCGCGCTACTATCTCTCCCGCGACGGTGGATTCCGATCGGCTCTTGCAGCGCACCTGGAATTGATGAAGAAGATGGCGCTCATGGGATTGCGCCTGGAAGAAAATGGGGGATTGCGGCTTCCGGCTTTAGCGACGAGAGTGAGGTTTGCTTGAGATATGTTATAATGGGGAGAAAGGGCAAATAAGTCATTTACATTTAAATTTGTTGCCATTTTAGGGAAGTGGGAAGAAAGAGAAGGGACGGCCCAGAAAGGAAACTAGGAAGTTTCAAGTGGATGGAGGGAGTATTTAGCAAGAGTTCACGTTTGCCACTTTGAAGTGGATGCTCCCTCTGTATTAAAAGAAAAGACCTAGATAGTCATGTTTTAAAAGTAGATTTTCCCACAAAAGAGTCATACCCATCTCATATAATGGAGCTAACTTTTGATGTAAATTGATAGATAGTCATGTTTTAAAAGTAGATTTTCCCACAAAAGAGTCATACCCATCTCATATAATGGAGCTAACTTTTCATGTAAATTGATAAAAATTAGTCAGAAACAAGTTCAATATGAGTAGGGATCTTATGGCTTTTAACTGTCTTAAGAGTTATCCAATGTGGGGAATTTTAAATAAAGTTGTTATCAGTCTTATCACCCAAATGTTACAAGATCAACTGTTGTAGCAAGTAGATACTTCAAAGTTATTTTCACCTACTTGACGCAAAATTGACTCTTGTTCACCCGAGTCATTCTTGATCTTTTGCTTTATGTCTACATTTTTCAGGGGCATCCTTGCTGCAATTGATGTATTCTCTGACCATGTTCTGGTTGGGGTAAGTTAATAAACAAGTCTCTCTTCTCCTTTAGACCTTTTGATTGCCTGGACATGTTTCATGCTGCATCTCCTGATGGAGGGCTACAAAGTCCTTGTTTTTTGTTTGGCAGAGATCTCAACAATGACCATTTTGCTTACTTACATACAGGTCTTTTACTTGATTGGGTTTGGCTTGTTCTGCTTGGAATCACTGCTGAGCCTGACGGTGCTACAGGTCAGCGACAGTTGAATTTATATTGGGTTGGTTTGGTTCGGTATCGGGCCTAGCCCATCAGGGTCTCACAGACTGACTGTCACTGGGTTGAGGCCGACCCTGATGCTTTTTTCCCCTCAGACATGTTTGCACTCTAGGCCTGGGAATCTTGGATGACCATTTACTTAGAAAATGGTTAAGCTTATCACTATATCTGTTCCATTGGAAATGAATGTTACATTTTGTGCTTTTGTTTTGCAGAAAGTTTATATGCACTTCCGAGGACACAGGTGACACTACAATTGTCGTGCGGGCGTGTTTCCAAGATGGCGAACAACTGCTATACATTTGGTGGACTGTTAAATTAATGTGTAATTTTGTGTGTTTATTATCACCATTACAGAGTACTAGTAGTGTATAAGCTCTTTAAGTGTTTTTCTTGTACTCCGGGGTGTATATTTGTCTGGGATATTTCACAAGCTTTAATATTTCTTCATGCATATATTAATTTCTGTTAAATTCTTTAATTTTTTATGCCTTGAATTTTATTCCCACCAGGAAGGTACGCGATTCTGTTCTGTACTAAGAATACGCCATCCATCCTAAATTAGATTGCCGTTGTTATATACTTATACATGCATTTTTTAATGTCATGATAAATGCTCTGTACTTTTTTTTTAAAAAAATAAACATACTTATATGAGAAAGTTTATGTATCCGGTATAGTTCTTCACAAGTTGATTTGTTATGAAGTACATTAAATGAGGATTATCCCTTTTCCTACTGGGTGAAGGGAGCAACGTTTTTTTCTTTAGCCAAATAAGAATAAAACAAGAGAAAAGATAGAAAAAGGACACACTCATGCTAAGGGTATCTTATTTGTACACCATCTATTTTTACCATTTATGAGTAGCTTTTATTCGTTTTTTTAATTTTTTGGTGTGTATATTTTGGATACACTTTTTAGTAACCCCTAGCATTTTTTTAAAAAAAGATGAGTCTCGTTCCCGAGGACCTCTTCAAACTCGGCCGGACGGTCACTGGAAAAAAATAAATTGGACTTTAATCACAGATTGGTAGCAAAGAGTGGAGCATGCACTTGGTATTTGCAGAAACCATATACTTCGCCTAGTTGCCTCCCAGCAGAGTTGTCAGAAATCCCTGTACCATTTTTCAAAGTCCATAGGTAAACTAGAGGTGAGACCAAAATCTACCTTGCCTAAAAGAAAAAGAACATGACAAGGTCAATGTCCTTTCCTCCTCCCTCATCCAAACAAAGCCACCATCCTGCTGCCACCTGGCAACTCAAATATCCAAAACTTGCAAGAATGAAAACAGGGGAGAGGGTGGTGCCTCTTCACTCCCACCCCCCTCTCAATTCTCATCTCCCATTTCCATTCCTCTGCAGAAATTCATTCCAATAAAAAATTTGAATCAAGAAGAAGAAGAAGAAGAAGAAGACAGATTCATGCCAATTGCCATTTCTTTTAGCTTCCTCTCTGTCTCCTAACCAATCCCAATCAAGACCAGAAGAAAAAAAAAGGGGGTAATTTTTAAACTATAAGAAATGTCAGTTTGTACAGTGTACACCATCCATTACTCCCCTTTCCGCCGGAATCCCTGTCTTTCGGCCGGCGGGAGGATTCCGGTCACTACTTCCTGCTCTGCCTCTCCGACGCCAGACAGCGGCGGGGGCGGGGGCAGAGCAGCCGGGAACAAGACGGTGGTGATCGGAGTGGCGGCGGACTCGGGGTGCGGGAAGAGCACGTTCATGAGGCGGCTGACGAGCGTGCTGGGCGGCGGGGCGGCGGCGGCGCCGAGGGGAGGGAATCCGGACTCGAACACGCTGGTGAGCGAGACGATGACGGTGATATGCCTGGACGACTACCACTCGCTGGACCGGAAAGGGCGGAAGGAGAAAGGGGTGACGGCGCTCCACCCGGCGGCGAATGACTTCGACCTCATGTACGATCAGATTAAGGCTCTGAAGGACGGGAATCCGGTGGAGAAGCCGATCTATAATCACGTCACCGGTCTTCTTGATCCTCCTGAACCCATTCTTCCTCCCAACATTCTTGTCATTGAAGGCCTCCATCCCATGTAAGTAGTCTACTCCCTCCTTCCACTTTCTTTCTATCTTTTTTTCTTTATAAAGTAGTATCTCTTCATACATTCACGATCTATTAAGCTCGTAAAGTTACTGTCACACTAAGGACCGAACACATGATGTCTCATTTGGGAGGGTCATAGCGATTAAATCTGTTGAAATCATTTTATCATGAAATCTGAAATCATATAAATTGTGATAAAAATTTAATATAAATAGGTTTATTTTATGAAATTTGAACATGTATTATGGAAAAAATATTTTCTGTTATAACGTACTCGGAGAAATTTTAGCATAATTCCATTAATTCAATCATTTTACGATGTAAATTTTTTATTTTTAATTTCTATAAGGTTCTGTTTGGTACATAGAATTCAGCCATGAAATTGAAGACTTTAATTCCAATTTTTCTATTTGATAGTAGAAGAATACGTGGGTTTGGATTTGAATTCTGATTCTAAAATTTTAAATTCTGCATTTAAAATTTTTAATTATTAGTTTTGAAATTTAATTTTTTAGTTGTTATTTTTTAGTTTTTACTTTTTATTTTTGAATTTTTAATTTTGAAACGGTAATTTTATGTTTTTAATTCTTAAATTTTAAGTTTCAAAATTTTCATTTTTGTTTAATTTTTCATTTTTAGTTCTTCAATTTTAATTTCTAAATTTGAATTTTTACTTTTAAGTTTATAATTTATTTTTAAAATTTTAAAAATTATTTGTCAAATCTTTTAAACCAAAGTCTATAAGTCACGTTTCATTGTTATGACCAAAAAAGATTCGCTTGATTTCGTTTTGACTTGTAGAATTCGAATTCGGATTTCAAATTATTTCTGGTGTTATAGAATTTTAACCTGGAATTGGTAAGTTTGTAATTTTAGTTCTTAAATATTAATAAAAGGAATGAATTTTTTAAGAAAGTATTTTTCTTCCTACCAAACAACAAAATATAATTGGAAAATAATTTTTTTGAAAATCATTTTCTTTTTGAAAATATTATTCAAGGAAAATATTTTTCTCCCAACCAAATACAACCTAAGTTTTAATATCATAAGCCATCCGCACAAAAAAAAAAGTTACACCCTCCGTCCCAATTTATAATGTCTGTTTCAGTTTACGATGTTTGACTGGAATTATTTTCTAATCATTTTATATGACAAATGATATAGAGTTAAAAAATAAAAATTACATATTAAAATACTATATCAAAAGATCTACAAAATTAGTAGTGACAATATTACTTTATTTTATCAAATTACTAATGAAAATAAAGAAAAAAAGTGGATGAAGTATGACCATGTGAATCGTAAATACGTATTATAAATTGGGACGGATGGAGTACATGACTTTTCACATTTCTATAAGGGTGGTGATAGCCACACCCTACCAAAACACTAAATTCACCCTACTACTTTCTAAACTATTTGTAATCTTGTACTTCACACAGATTTATATGTATTCTGATTTTTTTACTCTATAACACATTGATAAAATTATACGGAGTATTTTGAACGAATATATTTAGTTTTTTATTTAATTTTCTAATAAGTATTAGTATGCATTATCTAAATCCCTTTTAATAATAAGATACACATTTTTTAAAAATAAAAGTTGTAGTGTTAATAATGATACACATTTATTAAATTTTAAATAAAACTGTTTTTGAAAAGCAATAAAAAGGAAAATGGTGTGTAGTTTTAAAATTTATATAAAGCTTTATATATTTTTTAAAGAAATATAATAAAACTTACATAATCTTCTTTTTAAAATAATAATGTATATTAAAAAGGTTAGAGTAGGGAAATACATATTGGTATAATATTTAGAAATGGAAAGTTTATACAAAATTATTGGCCGGTCATCAAATTTAAGAATAATGAAAGTTATTTTATTTTTAATCAATTAATAATTAAAATAACAACAAAAATTTTAAAGTTAATTTTAAAACTCATATAATTTTTTCGAAAAGTTACAAAAAAAAATAAGCAATTGATAATTCTAAAAATATATTTATAATATTGTATTAATTTTTAAAAGTCTATATACTTTTTTTAACTACTAACATAACTATACATTATGGGGTGTACTTAGTTGACATGGCCTGGTGTATTTAGTATTTTACTGGCTGTGGCTATCACTACTTTTTCTATACCCCGTATTATAATATGAACACAAAAAGTGCTAAGTGCCCATTGCCAAGTTAAGATTCATATGGTCTATGATGAATTTTCATATATGCTAAATAAGCATTTTTTAAGCATTGAGATAATTTTTTTAATAAAAAAATTTGAAAATTGTGTGAGAAGATCCTTGTCAATATTAGGTCCACTATAGAACTTCTCATTCCCCTCTGATCGTGTGCTAGTAGATTAAGAATACCGTGGGAGAATAGACTCAATTATCTTTTCATTTATTATTCACGTAGTCAAATTTTATTTTTTGTAAACCTATTTGTGTTGCCCATTTTGATTATATAATATAGTAATGTCAGATCTAGTTTTGTAGATGTTTTGACGGAGTAGTTTTTAAATATGTAATTTTATTTTTTATAAAAGGATTTGCAAATAACTTCAGTCAAATATCATAACCCGTAACGGTAGCCTGCATTGGTATTGCTCAGTTTGGGCGAAGCCATCACGAATTTATTTTTAGACACCTTCCAAAAGTTAGATTGGGCTTATTTATCTATCATATACGAGTACCTATACCATACATCCGGGTGTATGGTATCCTCCGTACATCCGCATGAATATTCATTGTTGAATAACTAAGTACTCATTTCGAGTAACAGAATACTCATTTACGAGTAACTGAATACTCATTTTTGAGCATAGTTGAATTTTAGAGAAATGAGTATTCAATTACTCGAGAATGAGTATTCACTTGCTCGAAAATGAGTATTCAGCTATGAACACTAGTCTCGTAAATGAACACTCGTCGTGGATGTACGAGAAACACTGTACCACCGGTTGTGCGGTATATATATTGCGATCAGGCGCAGTCGCATACAAATTAACTTGAATACTTACTTCGTCCATAAATTTTCTTTCCACTTTCTTTATTTGTTCGTCCAAATATTTTCTTCTCGTTTCTCTTTTTATTAAATGTTTTTTCTTTTAAATGAGAGTACTATCCTTACCTTTACTTGTTAATTCCTACTCATACCTACACTTTATTTCATTTTCTTTAATGATTCAAGGGCAAGTATGGAAACTCGAAGTACTTTTTACTTTTTCTTAATTTGTGTGTGAAGTCAAACGGAAGATTATTTTATGAACATGTATTTATACAAAAACTACCCCTAGCTAGTATATTTTAATGATATTCCAAGATAAATATTTTGAATAATAGTCTTTTGATGATTGAATAATAATAATAATAGGTTTGACGCCCGAGTGAGAGAACTCTTGGACTTCAGTATCTATCTAGATATCAGCAATGAGGTCAAATTTGCATGGAAAATCCAGGTTTCTACTTGTCTTAACTCTCATTTAATTACGGAGTAGTTTGTTTTAAGTTGTATTCATAAATTAATTTGAATAAGTGTGATAGTTTTTTTGTTTTGTGGTATAATACCTGTGCAAAAGTTTGGGAGAAAATCACAATCACTCAGTAGTATTCAGGGAAATTTGATACACTCCCAGTTTTGTAACATTATGGGCAAATTACAATCAATCCATATGTTTCCATTTTGTTATAGTCATTTTGGTCTTAAATAAGAACAAGAATGCTAATGATTCCCCTGAGACCATATTTCCAATTTGTTATAGTCATTTTGGTCTTGCAGAGAGACATGGCAGAAAGAGGACACAGCCTTGAGAGCATTAAAGCCAGCATTCAAGCTAGGAAGCCAGACTTTGATGCCTACATTGGTACATACACTGTGTATACATACTCCCTTCGTTCCTAAATTACCGCCCATTATCACTTTTTAGATATACTAAGTCTTGAACGAATGTAGACAGACATTATGTCTACATTCATTTGATACTTCATGTATCTAGAAAAAAAAGGTATAATATACATTTATTTAGGAACGGAGGGAGCATATCTATTACGATCAAATTGATATACTCCGTTATTTAGGATTGGATATGAGTTATTACTCTAAACACTGAATTCAATCGATTATCTAGTTCAACTTGAGACCAAAACGTCGAATGCTTTGGGTGCAGACCCGCAAAAACAACACGCGGACGTGGTGATAGAGGTGTTGCCGACACAGTTGATCCCGGACGACGACGAGGGGAACGTGTTGAGGGTGAGACTGATAATGAAAGAGGAAGTGAGACATTTCAGCCCGGTTTACCTCTTTGACGAAGGGTCTACCATCTCTTGGATCCCTTGCGGTAGAAAGCTCACTTGTTCATATCCCGGCATCAAGTTCTTCTACGGACCCCACACCTACTTTGGCCACGAGGTAACGTACATATATAAAGAACTGAAACGATGTTTGGCAGTGCGCTGCTTTTAATAATTTATCTTCTGCTTTGAGTGGAAGTGATTTTACTTTGTTTGACATGTCAACTTCTGCTTTTTACCACCACTATTTTGAGCATAGAACATCCACTTTATCCACAAGTTAATCACTCCCAAACACCCTCTGACTCAACCAAAATCTTAAACTTAATGTGGCTAAATATATATTCACGCACGAAGTTAAGAATTTATGAAAATGATTTGAAATGATGAAAAGGTGTCGGTGTTGGAGATGGATGGGCAGTTTGATAGATTGGATGAGCTGATATACGTCGAGAGCCATTTGAGCAACATGTCAACAAAGTTCTATGGTGAAGTGACACAGCAAATGCTGAAGCACGCCGACTTCCCAGGGAGCAAGAACGGGACCGGCTTCTTCCAAACCATTGTCGCGTTCAAGATCAGAGACCTCTATGACCAGATCATCACCATTAATGCCAACAGCCCTTCCTCCTCCTCTGCTTCTCCTGTTGTTCAAGCTATGGCCTGATCATCATTCATATGTGTCTATATATATATATATATATATATATATATATATATATATATATATATATTATTCACTTGTCAACTTTCTCTCTTTCTCTGTAATATAAATCCTTCTTGTTCCCACTTGATGAGAAGGTTAAGTGTTTTCTATAAATTTATATGAGAGAGACAATCCATCCATCCATGTGATTGTATGTATTTTGTGATGCATCTTGTTGTAGTTATATATGGCATTTAAGGCAAAAGGGAATTAAGTATATATGTCCCAAAACAGAAAAAATAAAACAGTTGTCTATATATATTTATAAAGGAACAATAACAACAAACTTTTGGAGTGAGGTTTTCATGAACTATATAAAAGGACATATATATAATGTTGTTGTGACCTGTATAGGGCCCACCATGTGCTTCAACTAATGAAAATAAACAAAAAATGATCCTTTATATATGCATGCTGCATGCATATTGAGGCTACTTCACATTTTTGGAATTGATAGGGAAAATTTGGAAATAAAATTCAAATCTAATTCCACATATTTTTATTTTTGTACTACTAAACAGCTGAATTGAAATTGAAGTCTCAGATTCTAAAATTCAATTTTATATATATATATATATATATATATATATATATATATATATATATATATATAATCACTCTATGATACCATCACTTTCATCACCACTCATGTTTAGGTGGGCAAACACATCTTCTAATCCACTAAAAGAGACCATCATATCCTCCTCAGCCGTTCCTCCGGGTTGTGAAGAAGACCTTGCAGATGATATATTCCCATTATCTTGATTCAACGACAATTGAAATCTTGACTCTGGGTTAACCTCTAAATCTCTCAGGAACTGTTTGTATCCAGAATCGGTCGGTTCCAAATCTCTATTAGAAGCAGTGCTGAGCTTGTTCCGCTTGGTTTTATCAGACTTCTTTTTTATGAGAACATCTGGGAGTGAAGCTTTGCAATGTTCTGCTTCTTCCTTGTTGAAATTGGCACCCTGAAGATCATAACCAAGTGCATAGTCCCCAGGCTTTAAGAGATGGCCAAGATGAGTTTTTACAGAAAACGTGGTATCGTTCCTTCCAAAATCAGATACCCTGGCAACTTGTACTTCTGCCAGTGCATATCTCTTGCAGGCATAGTCAAACCCAGAAGAAGAATGAGCTTCTTCTACATCCAAGACTACGTACTCGACAAGCTGCTTGCTACTTAGCAGAGGCTCGAATGGCGCGCGCCAATACTGTTGTGCAGACAAGTTGACATCTTGCAGAGTAAAAGGATTCAATAGAGTGATGGTGTTCCTCACCTTAGTGCATATCACAAGGGAGCCACACACTCCCAGCCTAGCTGAAATCTTAGGAGGGAGATAAACCAGATCTTCATGGCAAATTGGGCATATAACCGCGGCAATACTATACCTGTATCGGCATACATTGCTCTTTGTGTCTTGTGACATCAACTGCTTGTGAAACTTTTCTTGCTTAACTGGGACAACATTGCCCAAGAATTCATAGAATTTCATGGCATCCCTCTTCTTAGGGAAAAAGAAATCCACTCCCTCGCGAATCGGTTCAATTTTCACAGCTTTCCCAATTGCACCATGCCTAATTATCAGCTGCTCCAAGAAATAAAAGGTTCTCATGTGAGAGACATGTTGTCTGACTTGAACAACAGCTTCCCAGTGATCATCCGGGTTAGCAGGCATACATGACGCACACTTTCGATGCACAACAACATACTCAATGGCATGAACTTTCTCAGCATACCTACCATGACAAATCTCTTTTTGCACCCGCAACTCCAGCTTGATCCTCTTAGAATTAGGTTCAGTGAAGCGAAACTTTGCATTGACCAATCTCAAATTGGCCAGTTTCTTCAACTTTTTGAGACACAATGCTAGGAGTTCCTTAGACTCTCTCTGAGCTTTTACCCAAGATGTTGGTGGGTGAAAGTAGCTTTGACATTCAATGCAGTGCACAATCTTTACACAACTAGGCAACCCTTCAGTGATATTGATCACCAAAGGGAGACAATTCACACACATATTGACATTGTTTGGAGTGATTGCTGTACCACAATTGCAACACGGTATGCAGCCAATTGACTGGTTCATGGATAACAAACCCAGATTGTTGCTCTGAAAAAGAAAAAAGAAACATAAAATTTAATTGAAATCATCATCAAGAGAAAGTCCAAAACAAAGCACCCATCAAGAAAAGTTCACAAAGCGGAATCCCTGATTGTATTGGCCTCTTAAAATTCATCACCAAATACTACTATTCATTGACGCATTCAAAAACCATTCTCCCAAACTTGGAACAAATAAAAAAAAATCTCCACTTCATAAAAAATCAATGGCCATATAACTCGTGGTATTAATTACGTTGAGAAAGTACACACAAATACTACATTGCATTTTGGTATTTACTTTTCTTTATCACTAATTGCAGCATTAGTAATCATCAAGAGTAATCAATTAACTTAAGAACTACACACTAGTATAGAGAAAACAGAAAACTATCACATACACAAAGATTCAGTACTGACTCCTTATCAATTAGCACTGCAATCCCCTATTTTCTTTGAATCAAGCAACAAAATCTATGCACAAAGTTTAATTTCCACAACCCTCCATTAACCAAACTGCTCCACCTCACTATTAGTCTTATAGTTTTTTTTATTTGCATAATGCATCTTAAAAGTATTTGAAATTTTCTAAAAGGGATATCAGTTACAGATTGGGTTAAAGGAATTCCTTATCAATCAGCACTAATTCCCTTTTTTATTTTAATTGTTATCATGACTCTTATAAAGCAATTCTATTCTTTTATTGTGCACATTCAGTTGCCATAATCATAAGTTAGCTAACTGACGAATTAAATCTCAAATGTGAAAGGATAACTAATGAAAAAGAGAGGAAAATGATGCACCATAGTAAGCAATTAGCTATCACATGTTAAACCCTGCAAAATTAATCCTCTATAGCCGGTTATAAAATTAACAATTACAAAGTTCATGTAATCTATTTGAACATCACATGAGACGGTGTTCATGTTCGCCATTTACTTCATACGAATCAATCTATACATTTAATTATAACAATAAAAAATAAAAGAACTTTTTGAACTCACTCAACAAAAAAACATGACGACTATTTGCCCACACTAGGAGTGTAAGTACTTGGAAACTTATTTGCATACCTCTTTGTTTGTCATATGATCATGAACATTAAAACCCAGAACACCACGCTTGCTGTGAAGATGATTGGCTCTATGAAGGTGTCTTAAGTGCAAGATATGCGCTTTTTTCCTCTTCTCTGCAACACTGGCATAATTTAGGCCTTTATAAGAATGTTTACGTGCAACACCAACATGCCCTTCTTTCTTTGTATCCTTCTCAGCATCAAACAATAAAACTTCCATGCTTGAATGCTTTGTTGAATTCATGTAAATTTTTGAACAAATATCAACAAAAAAAACCATTACTAATAAATAATATTGAGTGTATAGGACTACAGACTGATCAATCATTAATAAATAATATTTAAAAAAAATTGCTTTGTATTAAACAACTAGGTTCACTTTACCTCTATGTTCTATACATTAACCCCTTACCACTTTTTTTTCCTATCCACCATAGTCCACAATAATAATAATAATAATAATAATATTGTAGGTTACCTTAATTTAATTAGGAAAAAAGTACAGTAAATCTTAGCATACACATGAAAATTAACCTAATCTAAAATGATAAATTCAAAAATAATAAATTCATTCATTCATTCACAAATCCACATACCATCCCGTGATCACGAAAAAAAATCAACAATCTTGATCAATATTATGTGTTGAAAACAAAAACAAAACAAATCAAAAAAGAAAAACCTCGCAGAGTGTGGGTCACGAGTGGGGACGGGGAGTGGAGGCGGACAGGTGGAGGATGGAGGTTTCCCAGTGGGCGGAGCGGCTCACGACAACGGCTGAGGGGTTTTGTTCGACGATGTTTTTTATATAGAGTAGTGGCTATTGAGTCAATCGGATCGGTTTCGGATTGATTTTTTTTATTCGGATATTTATAACTAATTCGGTTAAGTTCGGATCGGTTTAATTTCAATTTGATTCTATACATTTTTCTGTTTCAATGCCAGATATAAATCGGTTCGGATATATTTCGGTTCGGATATAATTTAAATCGGATATATTTCGGTTTCAAATCTAGTTCGGTTTGGATATATTTCGATTTCGGATATGTTTCAGTTCGAATATATTTCAGTTTTGGATATGTTTCATTTCGGATATATTTTAATTGAAATTAATTTATCCATATTTCTTCGTATGTTTTACTATCACATTTACCACTCTATCATCAATTCAGCACATCATATTATTTTATATTTTTTTCTAATTATATTATCTCTACCCTAAATAATCTTCTTTTTTTGATTTTTTAGTCATATTTTAAAAATTTGGACTATAAATTATGAAAAAATATATTATGATATAAATTTAATATAATTAAATTGATTTTTAAAATTTAGTTTTGATATATCAAATTTTTCGCATCTCTACTAATTACTTATGTTTATAAATGAAAAGATAGAAGATAAATTCAAATAGTGTTACGCTCTAACTCAATACAATTTGGTAAAAATTGAATAAAATTAGGTGAAATTAAGTGATTTCTATATAATTGTGTGCAAAATTTATAAATTATTTGAGTGTATTTGGTTGCAATTAGATAAAATTAAATTTAATAGAGTCAAGTATTATTAATTTTACATCTAAATGTAATGGTGTAAATCAAATTTGAAAATGATGGTAATATTAAAATCTAATATTATTGACTAATATTGAGTGAATTGGTTTGAAACTAATCAAACTAACTCCAAACCAATAAAATTTATTGTAATTGGATGAAATTATGATAAAATCTAGTTATTCCACACAATTCATCATATAATCCTTTTGTTTCAAAAACAATATATCACACTTCACTATTTAAAAATTACGAAAATTTTATTTGTTTGTGCGTTATCATTTATTATTTGTTACAATAAACTATTATTCTTGTAACCTCTCATCTTGTAAAACTTTTGATGTATTTTTTAAATATGTAAACATTTTTTTTATTTTCATACCGTTCTTTAAGTAAAATAAATTTAAAAAACTTAAAATTTTGCTTCGTTTTGCGTTATATAGCATTCTTTCTGAGATGGAGGGAATTTTTTTCTTCGAAATAAGATTGTTTTAGTTATATTTTGTAACTTAAAACTTAATTTTGTATTTTTAATATAATATTCAATAAAAGACTTAATTTTTTATGTTTAATCTTCCCCCCTAAAGCTCAAAGTTTCTCTCATTCCTTTTCACTTTCTCTCCTTAATCTAATCAATTTTCTTACGCCACCATTCAACCTATTTCTCAATTCTCATTCACCTTCAACTCTTAGACTTAATTTTTTTCAATTGATACTTCACATTGTTTTTCAAATATTTTATTCCCTTTAATTTTGCTAATAAAAAAATAGTTGGCTCACTTTATTCATCTATTATTTTATATGTATAACTTCTATTCAAATTTTTAAAAAAAACTAAATTAAGGCATGAGATTTTTTAAATTTTTTTCAAGATGGTAATTCATTTTACGAGGAAATGAGGAAGTAATAATGTAATTAGTTCCAATGATAAACTAAAGGTAAAAAATTTAAAAATTTTATGTTTTTGGAGGTGCATGACCCCCCCCTAACCATTTGGATTGGAACATAGTTGTTATGCTAGTCCCACTACTCACCTTCCAATAAGGATAAATTGAACATCAACAAATTAAACATGGCTTGGAGTAAAATAACAAAGTGAGATTGTTGTTACCATAAGTCTGAATTTCAAAGATGTGACGTTGTAAATAATGGTTAAGATATCTAGAAGGAACTCTAGGACTGCTTAGTAAGATGGTAAATGTAAATGTAGATGGTTAAAATCTTTTTTCTGTCTGAAGACCCTACGGAAGATCACTTAAATCTATTTCTTTAGCTATTGAAGGTACAGATGGTCCAAAATCACGTGTTGAGGGGGGACTTCCGTTTAAAAAACTTCTCCATTATCTAAAAATATAAAATGAAAAAACTTTTTTACTAAATCTATGTCCAAAAATTAGAGAAAATTACTTAAATATATCAATTGAGAACTAATATATTTTTAGAGACTAGAGTCATCAATTCATATGTTTTGGGACAATTATAAATTATAATTAATAATAATCAACATAATAAACAATTTCATTTTATAGAAAATTGAAATATAAAAACAAATTATCCAAAGGTTTCACACATTACACATAAATCTAAATTTTAGATTTATCTAATTATTGAGTTCATAATTTAAAAAGGAAAGAAATTATTTGGAAATACCTGAAATTTGAAGGTTTGAACGATTGACGCTGTGGGCCTGTGGCGGACTGGAGGCGACGCGGCGGACTGGGGGCGACGCGGCGGACGGGCGACGGCGGTGCTCGTCTGCTCGGTGCTCCTGATCGGCGCTTCACAGCTTCTGGCTTCAGTTGCTCGGCTCTGCTCCTGAACGGCGCTTCACGACTTTTAAGGGATTATATTTAATTTTTGGAAATTTAGACAATTGGGCCACTTTTGGATAATAGGATTGGGTCTTTATACTACTCCGTATTTTATTGGTTTGGGCCAATTGGACTGGGGGCAGTTTTTTTTATTGGGGCAATTATATTTAAGCATTAAAAATATACATATACGGAGTATATATTTAAAAAATCACTAGGGGCAGCTGCCCCCATATGCTAATGGGTAGATCCGCCCCTGGCGTATAACGTATTCGTATAACGTATTCCCTGAAGCATCTTGTTGTATTTGTATATGGCATTTAAGGCAAAGGGGAATTAAGTAAGTATAAATGTGTCCCAAAACAGAAAAAAGAAAACGGTTGTCCATATATATACTCCCTCCATCCGTCTTTAAAAGGTTGCCACAATTTAATTTTTTTAGTCAAACTGTAATGTCTTTTGACTGTGAATCATAGAAAAAGTATATTTAGTGATAATATAAATTTAATATAATTGAATTTATTTTAAAAGTTTTAAATATCAAATTTTTATACTCCGCAATATTTAGTTCTTTTAAATTATACTTTTCCATGGTTAATAAGTGTCACAGTTTGGCTAAAAAAATCAAACTATGTCAATCTTTTAGAGATGGTGAGAGTATATATATATATATATATATATATATATATAATATGCATGCATGAGATTCTTTATGCCCATAATGTAAATTATTGAAATATGAGATAAATATACATGCCATAATAATTGTAAAAGGGAATTTAACTGTATACTCCGTATATAATACTTCCTCCGTCCCTAAATAAACTTCCCTTTTTGACTTTTTGAGGATTTAAAGAAGGGATATTTTGTGTTGAATTTCCAAAAATACCCTTGATGTGATGTGTAAAAATAAGATGTGATATATAGACTATTAGCAAAAAGGTATGATGTGATAGGTAAGGTATGCAAAAGTAAGGGGTAAAAGAGGTTTTTAAGGGAAAAAAGAAGTTTATTTGAGGACAAAGAAAAAACGAAAGAGGAAGTTTATTTAGGGACGGAGGAAGTACTAAAATATAGTCAGTTTCCCAATATAATATTATGCATTGTAATTTTTTAATGTAGTACCACTGTTCAATGTCCACTGCAGATTATTCAAGTAAATGTTCACTGTCATTGCACTGGATAGTGGACATTGTACAAAGTAAATGTCCATCGCCACTGGACATTGTTCCTGTTACTGGATATTGTTCAAGTACCATTTAGAGAATAAAAAAGTTTTAGGTATGTACTACAATACGAAAAGACATGTTTTTATACTATTTACTGCAAATTTCACAATCGTAAATTATTACTCATGAGTTCTTTAACTCAAGCTAGCTAGCCCTAGCCCAGATAAATGCCTACATTTTGGAAGTGATGAGTTTCTTGAGCTCCCTTCTGAGGATCTTTCCCGCTGCGGACCTGGGTATTGATGTTGTGAAATAGACTCGCCTCACCTTTTTGTATGGTGCAACCTATCACACAAATTAAAGAAATTAAATTAAAAGGAAATCTTTAATAATATATGGTTTAATAATGTAACAAAAAAAAACACTAATGACCTGCTTAGCTACAAAATCGATTAGAGCCTCCTCAGATAGTAATGCACATCCCTTCCTTTTGACCACAAATGCCACAGGAATCTCTCCAGCTTCATCATTTCTCTCTCTATATGTATGTATGTATAGAATGTAATAAAGATATAAACAAGATGAAAAAGTCACGAGGGTTGTTTAATTAAAGATAACTTGCCTTAAACCCCATTTCATAATTAATATTGGATTGTAATTAACAAAGAGAAAGTAGATTTGCCATGCAAAATTAGAGATAGATGAAACGTACGATGTTATTGCAGCATCAGTAATATCGGGATGTGACATTATCACTGCTTCTAAATCAACAGGAGAAATCTGCATAAGATATATGCATATACTTTCCTTAATTATTCAGGGAACCCACCATTAGAAATTTTCAAGAATCTAAAACTAGAACATGAATGCATGAATATTATGGTATCCGAATGATTTATACTATACATTGGAGTCTAGATGTTAAAGAGTTGCATCTACTAAAATATACTCCCTCCGTTTGGAAAAAGTGTTTCTATTTTGACTTTGTGTAAAAATAAGGAAGTATTAAATTGTAGTTGACTTCCAATTTTGCCCTTGATGTGATAGGTAAAAGTAAGATGTGATGGATAGATTATTAGAGATAAAGTATGATGTGATAGGTAGAGTATGAAAAAGTAAGGGTAAAAGTGGTTTTTTAATAGAAAGTGGAAGTGTTTTGTTGGAAGTGAAAAAAATGAAAGAGGAAGTGTTTTAAAAAACGGAGGGAGTATAAAGTTTTTATTTGTCAATCAAATTAGTGCTTAATTTTTTTGGGGAGAGCATACTCATTTTTCTGATTCCCTTTGTCCCAATTTATATTTTCTGCTTTTGTTTACGGTGTTTGACTGAAACTATGTTTAATTTAGTATATTTGAAGATTGTGGTGAAATTAAAAAAATAAAAATTACATATTTTAAAATTAAATCAAAAGATCTTCAAAACAGAATGTGACATAACTATTTTATTTTATCAAATTAAATAAATAGCGTAAATAATCAATAAAATAAATAAAATTTGACCTTGAGCACTATAGTTTGGGATTGGGGAGTAATTTTTTTTTAAAATTTTCTTCCCATTTTGAATCCGTGATTCTGAATTTGCGTTTTTACACATATTGATAATTTATATTTTGTGTGCTTATATCTCATTTTCGTTACTATTCCCATATATGAGTCATTTTAGTGCATAAAAAGTACTTGGTCCGTCCCTGAGTGTTTGTCCACTTTTGACTTTTGAAACTGTTCATCTAAGCACTTTGACTCATCAAATTCTCTCAATGTGTAAGCCTAAAAATAGTCATGTGTAATCTTGTTTGATTCGTCTTAACATATAGATTATTAATATATAATTTTTAAAATTTTTTAATATACAAATTACAAGATAAAATGGATTAAAGAAGTGCATTGGATGGTGTGCAAAAATGAAAGTAGACAAACACTCAGGGACGGAGGGAGTAATTCAATTAAAATATGCAAAAAAAATAACTTTTAAATCACAACTTTACATCTAAAAGTGTTGGTAAACCGATGTAAAATATATAAGTTTTGTTTTTTAATTCTACGTCAAGCTTTATATAAATTGATCGTTACTATAATTTCGATCAAACATCATAATATGAAATTGGAAATTTATTAGGAGACAAACAAAGGGTGACAAGATTTGAAGGGTAAAATGGGTAATTGAAAGTTTGAAGAGAATGCATGCGTACCTGGAAGCCTTTGTATTTAATTATCTCTTTTAACCGGTCTTGCACAAAGAGGTACCCCTCTCCGTCAAAATAAACAATGTCTCCGGTGTGCAACCACCCTCCCGAGTCTATTGTGTTCTTGGACGCCTCAATATTATTCAAGTACCCTAGTACACATTAACCAATCTCTCACTCTAGCTATTCAATTCCTCTTGAAAAAAAATTCATGCTTAACTTTCTCCTAGATTAAAAAGTGAAATTTGCACTAAATATAAGGCTAAAACATACTCCTTACATCCATGATTCATTCGTGCCAAAAAAAAATTCTCATTTCTGTTGAAAAAACATACTCCCTACGTCGCTGAAAACTCCCTACGTATTTATCACATCACATGTATTCACTATTAATCTACATATCAAATCATACTTTTATATATCACACCCAAAGACATTTTTAGAAACTCAACATCAAAATACATTCCCTTTAAATCTTTTAAAAAACAAATCTCCCATGTTTTTAAAACGGAGGGAGTATGTTTTTTTTCAATGTAGTACCTAAAACTTTTTATTCCATAAATAGTACTTGAACAATGTTCAGTACGTGCCAGAAACAATGTCCAGCGTCGGTGGACATTTACTCAAACAATGTCCAGTGGAAATTAATTAAAAGTGGTACTACATTATTAAAAATTAAAACATATATTAGTATATTGGAAAACTCACTATGCATGTTTTAGTACTATATAGATAAATTCTCCTAAAAAATTGTTGAAAAGTGATTTTTTTTATTTGTTATAATTCGTTTGGAGGAGAGTGAAGAGTTAAAATTGAGTAATTTATTTATTTCTTTAAAAAATAAATTGAATTTCTTTTCATAAATAAAAACAAAAAGAGTGAGGTTTTTTACAACTCTTGCATTGTCATGCCATGCCAGCAAATTTCACTTAAATCATGGCATTCCATGGTCATTCCACCCCACTTTTCATTCCATGTGCAAGGCATGACTCTCTCATTTTTTATTTTTTTAATATTTTTAATATTTGTAATTTTTGAAAAAATATTTTTTTAAAGAAGTAAGCATATTTTAATAATTAAATAGATTTTTAAAAAAAAAATTTATAATTAAAAATCATTAAAAAGTGCAAAAATAGACAAAAACAACGACTTGTCACTGTATGTTATGACACTCCACTCATTTGTCATACGATGACTGGATTACTTTTTATTGGTTGAAATAATACATGTCACTGTGTGACATTTCATTTTTGTCTTGCCATTATCAATGCTCTTATAAGACGAAATGAGTTATAAGAAAAGTGAAGAGTAATTTTTGTGCTTTCACGGGGACAAGTAAAATTAGGGAAGGACGTGAAATCCAGATACGGAGTAATTAGTCAAATAAGCCCCATGAGATTTGGTCTTAAATACTGTATTAAGAGAAAAAAAAATAAAGGAGTACGGAGTATTCCTTTTCTCTTTGACAAATTGACCAAGAAGAAGGAAACTATGGTGTCAAGGCACTATAAATACGACATTTATTTGACCAAAAAGATGGATATTTATTCGAAAAGAAAATCGGATTTTACCTTATAGGAGTTGAGGGAAAAAAAATTACTCTGTAAATAATTAACTCGGCTCACTTCTTTTAAATTATACTTCCTTCGTTTCTGAAAATCCTTTTTCTTTCTTTTTTCATTCGTCCCAAAAATCTTTTTTCATTTCTATTGAAAAGTCATTTTTGCTCTTATTAATTCTTAAACTATTTATCACACCACATCTATTCACTATGAATTTACCTATCAAATTTTACTTTTATCCATCACATTCAAAGATATTTTGAAAATTCAACACCAAAATACACTTTCTTTAAATCCCTTAAAAATCAAAACATTGCATATTTTCTCAGACAAAGGGAGTACTACATGTATTTGACCAAAGAGATGTACCTTTTTCATTTCTCTTGGCACATCATGAAAAATTTATGTTCAAAAAATGTTTCAAAATGAATATTATGTTAAATTAGGATGAACATTATATTATGTTGTTTAAAAATGAACATTAAATTGAGTCAGATTTAGAACAAACACTGCGGTAAAATGAACATTCTGTTGCCTTATTATTTTTGTATCAATATCTAGTTTAAAAAAAGTTTACAATGTATCAGATTAATGATCAATATAAATCAATTTTGATTGAAAAAAAAGTTGAAACACGATAAAAAAGAGTACCTTTCATTATAGAAGGACCTCTGAGCCAAAGCTCACCCATGGAATGAGGGGGTTGGGGTAAACCCGAAGTCCAATCAACCACTTTGGCTTCCATATTTGGGGCCAATAGTCCCACCGAACCATACTTTCGGACTTTCCCGGCGTTATAACCCCGTGTTCCGACCGCCGCCGTCTCCGTCATCCCGTAACCCTGGATAAAGTCGATGTGGGGAAAGGTTTGGACGAAGTCCTGAATGCATGCGGCGCTGGTCGGAGCAGCCCCGCACGAGACCTGTCTCACTCCCTTCATCATCGATCCCTTCCCGTCCGCCGCCGCCGCCGCCTTCGCTTTTCTCGTCAATGCGATCAGCAACGGCGGTGCCACCGGAAAATGGGTGACCCCGTACCTCTCAATGGCTCTCACCGCCGCGTCCCCGTCGTACCTCCTCATCACCACCACCGTCGATCCCAGCGAGAACAACCCCAGCACGAACAGAGAGAGCCCGTACACGTGGAACATCGGCATCACGTCCAGGTAGACACTCTCCGCCGGGTAGCCGTCGTACTGAGAAGCTTCGAACCGGACGAAAAGTTCCACCGTCGCTATGAAATTGGCGTGCGTCAGCACCGCCCCCTTGCAGCCCCCGGTCGTCCCGGACGAGAACAGAACCGCCGCCGTGTCTTGCTGCTTGATTCTTGGAACCGGGGCCGCGTTCGGATCGCTGCTGATTAAGTTTCGGAAAACAGAGCACGCCGGAGAGCTCATCTCCGACGAATCAAGATTCGGGATTTCCGGCAACCCGATCGCCGGAATACCGAGCCCGACCAAATCATCGATTCTTTCCGGAGTGGAAAACGCGAGCCGGACATTAAGATCACCTTGAAAAGCTTGCTTCTTTATCTCCGAGGGAGTGCTCAGGGGATTCATGGGGGCCACTACCGCTCCGAGACTGAGAATTCCGAGAACAAGAACGGGGAAGTAAACGGAGTTCGGGAGCAGGAGCAAGACGACGTCCCCCTGTGCGACGCCCATTTGGTGGAGCCCGGCGGCGGCGGATTTGACCAGCGAGTGCAACTCCGAGTAGGAAATTGAAAACCCAGACTGGGAATCGACGAGAGAAACCGCGGCGGACGAGTGGGGGTGGGAGAAGATGAAGGAGACGACGTCGAGAAAAGGGTCGGCCGGAAGTCGAACAGAAGGGTACTTGCTGGTGTATATCCCTGTTTCCGGCGAGTACCAGCAGGGGAAGGTGCTTTCTGATCGTTCTCCTTCAATTGAATCTGAATCGGTGGAGATGTTTGTGTGAAGATTTTTGGGGCGGGGAATGATGGAATCAACGTGAGTGTTCATTGAAGAAGATGGTGATGCCATTGATTTGATTTAGAAGTGGAAATGGTCTCGCCACAGCCCGGATGGATTTATATTCACTAGCTACTTCCTCTGCTTGTCAATTTTTTTGGGATTAAAGTTGTAAAATTGAAAATAAATTAAATAAAAGTGATATTAGATATTAACAAAAATAGTTTTAATAAATTTATTTTATAAAATACTTTCAAAAAATTATTTTATTTAACTAATATACGGTATATATTTTATTTAATTTTTAGTTAAAAATTGAAAATTGTCTTTAAAAACTATTTTCAATTGTATATGTATATATATATATATACATATATATATATATATATATATAGGGGTTGGTTCAAGTGAGAATGCACATTGGTGAAAGAAATAAGAATGAAATCTAGCCTTTGGATCAGATGCATCGTGCGGCTCAGATTGCATTCAGCACTCAAATTTCGAGATAGTGCATTTTTAAAGGATTATGGTGCATCTCGACATGATGCATTTTCAAACCATCTTAGTGCACCTAATTTTGATGCAATCCTAACCCTTAGATCTCCTAATCTAATGCACTAGATTCATTCTTATTTCTTTCATTAGATTGCATTCTCACCTGAACCAAAATCTATATATATATATATATATATATATATATATCNATATATATAGGGGTTGGTTCAAGTGAGAATGCACATTGGTGAAAGAAATAAGAATGAAATCTAGCCTTTGGATCAGATGCATCGTGCGGCTCAGATTGCATTCAGCACTCAAATTTCGAGATAGTGCATTTTTAAAGGATTATGGTGCATCTCGACATGATGCATTTTCAAACCATCTTAGTGCACCTAATTTTGATGCAATCCTAACCCTTAGATCTCCTAATCTAATGCACTAGATTCATTCTTATTTCTTTCATTAGATTGCATTCTCACCTGAACCAAAATCTATATATATATATATATATATATATATATATATATATATATATATATATATATATATATATATATAGGGATTGACTCCAGTGAGATGACACCTTACGGTACGATGACATGTTTCAGTCAGATGACGCAAAGCTCACCACACTACACTACAAAGCTCACCAATGGACAATGCAAAGCTCACCTGAAAATAAAGCAAAGCTCACCACTTTGAACCCCAAAACAATGAGCTTTGTAGTTGTGCTTGGTGAGCTCTGCAATGGGCAGTGATGAGCTTTGCGTCATCTTACCGAAGCATGTCATCGCACCATAAGGTGTCATCTCACTGGAGTCAATCCCATATATATATATATAAATATATATAAATTTAAAATTATACTCGCTTTGTCCTAATTTTGATTACAATTTTTTTTCTCACCTCTCGAGTCTCGATAACTAGATTATGATGGATTTTGTGTAATTATCCATTTTCACTGATTATTCAATTAAAAACATGCATTCTTGTTTTATAAATTTTTTCATGAACTTTTTAAAATTTTAAATTTAATTATTTTATCTGTACATCATTTTCAATAAAATAAATTTAAAGACTCTTGATCATTTTTTTTGCAAAATAATTTGAAAAAAATGTTTATCGGAATATATAGTCGAAATTTACTTATCGAGTTATCCTACTCATGTAAAAGTTTGTATAAGAGCATCACTAATGGGGTGGAATGAAGGGAGAATAGGATGATGTGGAGGAGGAAATAAGAAGAGTGATTAGAAAGAGAGAGGAATGTATGAGAGCATTAGCAATGGCAACACAAAAATGAAATGCCACACGATAAGATGGATTATTTCAACCAATAAAAAATAACTCAGTCACCGCGTGACAAATGAGTGGAGTGTCGTAACATACATGACAAGTCATTGTTTTTGTTTATTTTTGTACTTTTTATGATAAAAATTATTTTACAATTTATTTTATTATTAAAATATGTCTACTTCTTTTAACAAAAATATTTTTTTCAAATATTAAAAATATTAAAAAATAAAAAATGAGGAAGTCATGTTTTGCACATGGAATGAAAAGTGAGGTGGAATGCTATGGAATGCCATGATTGGAGTGACATTTGCTGACATGGTTAGGCAAGGCAAAGCATTGCCTTGCCATTGTGAATGCTCTGAGAGAGGCGAGCAAGGGGAATAATATTACCATGGAGAGAGGAAAAGAGGTAATTGGTCGATTTTTTAAAATATTGTTTTTTAAAAATAAGATGTCTTGTTGAAAACATAATTAAATAAAAAAAAATTGAAAGCAAAAGTATTGTGATATTGGAAATACAGGAGAGAATCACCAAAAAAACACCCAAAAAATGATTTACACATTATTTTTGATGGTGTGGAAGAGAGATAGTGATTGTGCCTTAAACTTCAAGAGTTGTACTCTCGTATAGTCTAATAATAATGATTGTACCTAGCCTTAACTTCAAAAGTTATACATTGTGCATCTCAAAATATTTATTCAATTTTAATTTTTTGCTGTCAATAAAAATTAATTTTTAATTTATAATTTTATAAAACTTCATAATATATTATAAATTAGATAAAATAATATTTTGAAAATATTTTACATGATAAATAAAATAAAAACATTCTTGTATTCGTATCTAATAACAATTTTATTCAATCAATCTTCAAAATTTATCAATTTTAATTGTAAAAAGTTAATAGGGGACAAATTATTTTTGAGAGAGCTAGTATCATAATTAATGTCATACGGAGTATGTGATGAAGAAAGGGGTAAATGGTTTTAATAAGTTTTTATTTTGAAATACTCTTATTTAAATTATTTGATTCGATCAATATTGTGAAACGTTCATTTGCAATACAATAAAAAACAACGAGATCAAAGGATATATATATATACACACACACACACACACACATACACACACACACACATATATATATATACACACACACATATATATATATATACATATATATATATACACACACACATATATATATATATACATATATATATATATATATATATATATATATATAAGATTTACTATTTTGGGGAAAACTTTGTACTGAATTATCAAAAAAATCAAAGTTTAGGTAGTTGCATTTTAAAAAAGTATAGGCAATAGAAGATTATCAATAAATATTTTGAAGTTTTGTTGATGAAAAAATTGCAATACAACAGAAAATCTAGTTAGTTATAAAAAAATAAAAGTTCCATTTCAGAGAAAAAATTGTTGTGTTATTTTCACAATTATTGTAATGTTGTTTCGCAAAAATATTTATATAAAATCATCGAAAAATATTCACAAGTTTTATAGTGCCATTTTTAAGAAATAATACTAATGTAGTATAAAAAAATTTGAAGTACCGCTCAAGAAAAAATAATTACAACTTACAGAAAAATGTTGTGAGTTATGAACTAAATAAATTAGCTTTTTTATGTAGAATAATTTATTTTTTAATTATTACCAGATTATCAATTATTGAAAAAATAATTCGTTTCACTCTAGAAAATACTTAAATTTGGTATTATTTTTCCAAAAAAAAATTATAAAAAAGAGATTTAGATTTAAAGTTAAAAATTTAAAAAAAAAATTACCTAAAATAATCTCACCCTTCATTTATTTGCAAAAAACAGGTATTTTCGAAAATATCGTTAAGTGACATTTAGTTTTTTAACAGCGACCCAAAACTCGTACACATGCGGAAAAGTGAGATTATTTCTGGTGACAGTGAAAAGTAAGATTATTTTTAAAAGAGCACGAAAAGATGAGATTATTTGGGATAGTTTTTCCAAAAAAAGATAAGATTTACAAGTTAATTTTGATAGTGTGAAAGACAGATTTGATGTAGAGACACATTGGTGAGAAATTTTCTTGGATAAAGCTATTTGAACCTCAAGGATTTGTACTCTATTTTGTACATTGTAGGGATGCACCAACATTTTGTGTTGGTGTAATGCTAATTTTTGTTAACACACCAACACTTTGTGCCAGTGCAAATTTTTGTTAACGCACCAACACTTTGTGCCAGTATGAACCATCAAAAATTTAGGGGGTTAACAAAGTGTTGGGGTGGGGGTGCAGGGGCGGGGGTAGGGTGGGTGGTTTAGGGGGTGGTTTAGGGGGATAGGAACCGTCAATTTTGCGAACGGAGCACCGGAGGTGCTCCAAAATGCCAGTGGCACCGCTAGTGGCACCGTACTCCGGTGTCATTAGAACCTCACTGATGCTACATTGTCTTCTATCATGTTTCCAATCAGTGACTTTCCGGCGTTTTTGTTGTTGTTAGAGTCAATATATCATGACTGCATTTTATAATGTAAAAATTTACAAAATAATTTAATAAAGACTATATACTTTTTCAAAATCTATTGTCAATGTTTGTAAAATCTGATCAAAAAATTCACTGAGAAGATTTTTTTGAGATAGATGAATCATATTATTAAGAATATTTGCCTTTACAAAGTGGAGGTGTAAATTTGCACTGTACTTTCAACTTGCAATTACTCCCTCCGTCCTAGTGTATTTGTCCAGTTTGACTCTGAGTCAAACTGGAAAAATTTTGAGGTTTAATTAAATAAATATCGTAATGTATTTTAATATAAAAATAAATTTATTAGATTTATTCTATTAAGAACTTTCAAAATTGTTTATCATTGTACTAAAATACAGTACAAATTGAGAGTAATTGGAGTTCAAAATTTATCTAGTTTGACTCAAAAACGTCAAACTGGACAAATACAGTGGGACGGTGGTAGTACATATTATTGAGGTTGCGTTTCATTTGCCTGATTTGATTTGATCTGATTTTTGAAGTTTTGATCTAGTGTGATCTGGTTTGTTTTGATCTGATCTGATTGGATCTGATCTAATATAAATTCAATTTAAATTTAAACTTAAATTATTATTATAATAGTAATAATAATAAAATAAATAGTAATAATAATAGAAATAATAATAATAATAATAGTAATAAGAATAAGAATAATAGCAATAAGAATAGTAATAATAATAACTATAATAATAATAATAATAATAATAAGAATAATAATATAAATAATAATAATAATAGTAATAATCATAATAATAGTACTAATAATAATAATAACTATAATAATAATAGTAATAATAGTAATTGAAATAATAATAATAATGCAAATATTATTATTATTAATAGTAATAGTAATAGTAATAGTAATAGTAATAATAACAACAGTAACAATAATTATAATCATAATAACAATATTAATATTAATAATAGTAGTAATAATAGTAATAATAATAGTAGTAATAATAATAGTAATATTAATTATAATCATAAGGTTACCTAAATAGGACCATATGTTTTTATTTCCCAATGTATGACCATTGGTCATTACCTATTAGTCATTATTCAACTATATGTTCAACATTACTTGGACATCATTTTTCTCACTAGTCATTATTAAGTCCTATTTAGGGGATAAAAAGGTTTAATTCCTACATTGGGAAATGACTTATGTTTTAGTCATATTCAGTACAAATTTCACTAATCATAATCATAGTAATAGTATTAATAATAATAACAGTAATAATTTTGTTTAGATTTGATTTGATTGGACCTGATATGATCTCATCCGATCTGGTCTGATCTGATTGGATCTGATCTGATCTGATTTGATCTCATCTGATCTGGTCTGATCTGATTGGATCTGATCTGAATTGATTGAATCCGATTTGGTCTGATCTGATATGATCTAATCTAATTTTAATAAAAATAAATAATAAGTAGAAAAAATAAATTGAACCGATTGCTGGCTAAGTCTACTTTGATGCTAGTCCTATTGGTGTGTGCTACCAAGAGCAAACAAAGAGGGCATGATTGATGTAAATTTAATTTAGACGTCCTCTTTGATAAAAAAAAATACAAGACACACACACACTTTACAAAATTCACCAAAAATGAGTATGCATACTCCACACCATATATAAGTCATACTCATGGATATCAGGACCTTGGAGCAAGCCCAATGGGGTCCAAATGTGATTTCGTAATTCAACAGGAATAGAGCTCAAGTCTGGATCAGAAGGAGAGACCGAGGCTCAAGAAACAGGCGAAGTGGCGGGCCAAATCTGGCCCAAAGAGGTGGATTAAACATGGTATAAGAGGGAAACGTGATTCCCCAGATCCTGAGACTGAAGACTAATTGGTGACTGATTCCCCACCACGAATGATGCATGATAGTTGATTTACCGATAATGTAGTGCACGAAATTGCATACATTGTATACGATAGAATTAGACTATAAATAGGGGTGAATTCTTCAGTGTAACTTAAGCTGAATCTAGCTAATACAAGCCTACGAGACTTCTATATTTTATCTATATTCTTGTTATTTTCATTCAATTCTTTGTTCCACCATAGTGGTTGGCCTAAAATCACATCACATACATCTCAAATCGGTGTGCAATACAGAGTTGAATACTAGTACCCCAATAACTTTCTAAAATTGAAAACTATATATGGAAAACATTCATCGATCCATGGCAAGACAATTGGGGGCACATGCCCCTTAGTCAAACTTTATAGTTATTCATTAGTCTCTTTGATAAAGTTAATGGTACCCCATTTTAAAATAATGTGTGGTGTCCTCATATTTTTTTTGAACATTAATACAGCTTACAATTACATTTTATGTACAAAGTCGTGCGTGTATCTTTTAGGGAAAGGAGTTAAGTTTCAGTACTACCTAGTGCAAATATTTCTTTAATATTTACTTTGTATATAAAACTTTAAAAAAAGCTTTAGTGGGGTGCCCTCGATAAGAATATAGGAATTTACTTAAATAGCACTAAAACATAATGACTTTCCCTAAATAGCACCACATGTGTTTTTTTCCCAATGTAGCACTTTTAGTCATTATGCATTAGTCATTATTCAAGCAAATATTCGCCATCACTAGATCGACATTAAGGACATTATTAAGTGCTATTTAGGAAAAAAAGAATTTAAGTGCTATTTAGGGAAATGACTTAAGTTTTAGTACGGAGTACTATTTAGTGCAAATATTTAATAAGAATAAGTATGCCTGAGTAAAAAAATACTCCGTATTTTTTTAAAAAATTCTCCTTAGTAGTTCAACCAAATCGTTAGTACTAAATATGGTAAGTGTTCAAATTTTGCTCACTAAACATCAGTAATTATTTGAATATATGATTACACTAAACTATTATAAAACTATACAGAGTAATATATATATATATATATATATATATATATATATATATATATATAGATTTTGGTTCATGTGAGAATGTGATCTTACGAAAGAAATAAGAATGAATCTGGTTCTTTGGATTTTGAGATCTAAGGGTTAGGATTACATCAAAATTAGGTGCACTAAAATGATTTGAAAATGCATCATGTCGAAATGCATCAAAATCTTTTGAAAATGCACTATCTCAAAATCTGAGCACAAGATGCAATCTGAGTCGCACGATGCATCAGATCCAAAGGCTAGATTTTATTCTTATTTCTTTCACCAGAGTGCATTCTCACTTGAACCAACCCCTATATATACACACACACACACACACACACACACAGAGTATTAATTTCCAGAGTATTCTAAAATGGTACTCGGGTAAAATTTAATTTGCAGAGTATATATATATATAAATACACACACACAGATACACACACACACACACACACACACTATATATATATATATATTGGTTCTGGTGAGAATGCAATCTTAGGAGAGAAATGAGAATGAATCTGGTGCTTTAGATTGTGAGATCTAAGGGTCAAGATTTCATCAAAATTAGATGCACCAAAATGGTGCGAAAATGCATCACGTCAAAATGCACCATAAACCTTCGAAAATGCACTATCTCAAAATCTGAGC